AAGAATTTTACTTCTGAAATGGATTGGTGCTGAACATTATAGAATTGTGGTTGATAACTTTTATCCAACACCTATTTTAACAGTAGACTACGAGGAAATTGTTGAGTTTATTTCGAATTTCTATAAACCAAAAGTGGTTGATAACTTTTATCCAACACCTACGAGGAAATTGTTGAGTTTATTTCGAATTTCTATAAACCAAAAACATCCTATTTGGCCGAAAGACTAAAATTTGGAAAAATCGTGAAGAACAAAGATCAATCTATACGCATATTTGTAAACAATTTGAGAGCTGGTACCACGGAATGTGAGTTTAAAGATACACTTGACGAAAGACTGCGAGACCAGTTCTTATTGGGCTTAAATGATCCTAAAATGCAAGAAGAGCTCATCAGAAAACATCCTGAGGAAAAAGCAAGACTTGTCGACATCGTTAAAGACGCCTACCTCATGGAAATGGCACATTCTCAACAACAACAAATAAAAACACTTGGGACATTTTCATGTGACGCACAGGTAAATAAGGTAGGGGCTACACGAACTACTAACAAAAGGGACAGTACTAGAATCAACTTGAATCCTGAGTCACAGTGTTTGAGTTGTGGGTTAGCAAAACATAAAACAGGTGAGTATTGCAAGGCAATGAATATTCAATGTAGAGCTTGTGGGAAAATGGGGCATTTTGAACGAGTTTGTCTGAAATCCAATAATGTCGTCATTGAGAAAAATCTTTCAAGACGTTATGTCAAACAAATTGATAAGTTTGCTGGAATGAGTGATTATAGTGGAAATGTAGACTTTTTCCGTCAAAATAATGACGGATGTCCTGACATATCTGATGAGCTAGAAGCTGAGCTTCCCGGTTTGGTAAAGAACATAAGTCAAATTAATAATGTAGAGAAATTTTGTTACGTTGTTCATTTAACAATAAATAGGGTTCCAATAACGATGGAATATGACACTGCTGCTGCAAGAACTATAATTAGTAAATCTACGTGGAAACAAATTGGTAAACCGGCACTGACTCCTACGGAGGAGCTGGGTGCTTATCTGTCATTTAGGATACCTATGCTCGGCGAGACTAAGGTCGCTGTTTCGTTAGGTTCAACTACTTTGCAATTAAGTGTTGCTGTCACTGACATTGTTTCAGGGACACCTTTGTTTGGTAAAGATTGGATTGTAGCATTTAATCTAGATCCTAACTGTGAACATGTATGTAAGCAAAATTCTTATAGCGTCAATCATATTAACACGGACATTATAGACCAAGAGGGGGAGAAACGTAAGATATATAAAGAATTCAAAGACATAATTACCAATAACCTAGGAACAGTGAAAAATTTCAAAGCTAAGGTTAGAGTAGCTAATGATGTACAATTGCCAATACACAAACCGAGACCTGTTCCGTTCGCATTACACAGTGCAACTAGCAAGGAACTAGATCGTTTAGTGTCCTCAGGGGTCTTAGAACCTGTGGATCCGGCTACGACTCCGATCCTTTGTGCTTCTCCTTTAGTTGTTGTACCGAAGTCTAATGGTGAGGTACGATTATGTGCAGATTTCAAGGTATCAATCAACCCTCATTTAATCGATGACGAATACTGCATCCCTACGTTTGAAGAAACAGTGCTTAAGTTGAACGGTTCAAAATTCTTTTCAGTTATTGATTTGAAGGATGCGTATCTACAGATTCCAGTGGACGAAGAATCAAAAAAATATCTAGTGGTAGCGACACATAAAGGATATTTTACCTTCAATCGATTACCTTTTGGCATTAAGACTGCACCTAAGATTTTTCAAAAGCTGATGGACCAATTATTAGTTGGTACCGATGATTGTGCGTGGTATTTTGACGACATATGTGTGGGCGGTAGAAGTGGACCAGAACACATTGATAGGCTCAAAACAGTTTTAAATATATTGAGGAGAGCAGGACTATGCACGCGTGAAGATAAACTACAGCTTTTCAAACAAGATCGTGTAGAAGCTATCAAGAAACAACCCCCACCAAAGAACGTTTCTGAGCTTAGATCATTTCTTGGATCTGTGAATTACTATTCAAGATTTATTCCAAATTTGCAATCTCTTTGTTTTCCTTTACATAGACTTTTGCACAAGAACTCAACTTGGGCCTGGAATAGTGACTGTGAGGACGCATTCAACCATATTAAGAGCAACATTTCAAACAATATGGTACTTGTACATTATGATCCTAAACTTCCACTTATCCTTGCAACAGATGCTTGCAATATTGGATTAGGAGCAGTTCTCCTTCATCGTTGTCCTGATGGCAGTCAGAAACCAATTGCAGCCGCTTCAAGAACATTAAATTCAGCAGAACAGAACCATTCTTCTATAGATAAGGAAGCACTGGCCATTATCTTTGGTGTTGAGAAATTCTACAAATATCTCTATGGTAGACATTTCACTCTTTTGTGTGATCATAAACCACTTGAACGAATCTTTGGGGCAAAGCAGCCTATACCTAAACATGCCGCTTCCAGACTTGCAAGATGGGCTATTATCCTCAGTGGATACGACTACGATATAAACTACAGGGCTGGAAAAGATAATGTTCTGGCAGATTGTATAAGTAGATTACCTTTAGAAGGAGGAACAAATATTGATACGTATCAGACGCTTGGTGAAGTAAACCAAGTAAGATCTATGAGAATTGAAGATTTGCCACTTAGAAAACGTACGATTCAAGATAACACTCACAGAGATGATGAACTGAAACACATTATATCCTATTGTGTCAGGGGATGGCCCGATCGAAGTTCAATTCCGGACAATTTGAAGATATTCTATGTCAAGAGACATGAACTATCTTATGAAGAGGGGATTTTATTGTGGCAAGAAAGAATATTAATTCCCAAGTCCCTTAGAGGAGACGTTCTTAGTTATCTCCACGTTTCACACCCAGGAATAGTTGCCATGCGCTCTTTGGCGAAGTTGTATGTGTACTGGCCAAAAATAGATGATGACATTGAAAACTTAGTGAAAACTTGTACAAGATGCCAAACATTCAGGAAAAATGATGTGAAAACGCCACTCAATTCATGGAATATACCGGAAAATGCTTGGGAAAGATTACATATTGATTTCAAAGGACCTTTTGACGGATACATGTGGTTAGTGGTAATAGACGCATATTCTCGATGGTTGGAAATATTTCCAATGAAAAACGCTACAAGCAACACTGTGATAAGACGACTTCGTGAACTTTTCTGTAGATATGGACTTGTGAAACAAATTGTTACTGACAATGGAAATCAGTTTGTCTCAGAAGAATTTAGAGAGTTTTGCCGCAATAATAACGTGATTCACATCAGAACTACTCCTTACCACAGTCGTTCCAATGGTTGTGTTGAACGAGTAATTCAGACGTTTCAAAACAAGTATCTCATGATTGACATAAATGATCACGAGCAAAGACTCCATACACTTTTGTTCTCATACAGGACAACTCCACATTCATCGACTGGACGGACACCAGCTGAACTTTTCCTGAAAAGAAACCCAAGAACTTTGATTGACACCCTAAGACCGGACGTGAAGGAAAAGATGAAACAGTCGTCAGAACGCCAAGAGTTTTATCATGATATCCACTCTAAACGTAAAGACTTCAATGCAGGTGATAAAGTTTGGGTGAAACGGAATCAAAATGAAAATTGGAGAGAAGGGGTAGTGTTAAGGAAAACAGCACCATTGTCATACAGAGTGAACATTGATGACAAAGAACACAGGCAGCATGCCGACCATTTAAGAACACGTCAACAAATACAGCCTGCACAACAATCTGTAACACAACAAACTTCAACACGCCAACAAATACGGCCTTTACAACTATCTTTTCAACAACAACTAACTTCACCTTCATCTGGTACTACAAACCAGAGAAAATCAAGTCGGAATATAAGAAAGCCAATGTACATTTAAAGAAGGAAGGGGGAAATGTTATGTATGCTGAAATACTGTTCTGTAATTTAATTCAATCAGATGTTTTCATAAAAACAATGTTTGTTTACTTGTTACTTTTGTTATAAATGTTTGACAATAAAAGATTCTTCATTCATATATTTTATTCTATTTTAAATGTAATAACGTTACACCTACTTTTATTAAAATTTATCTAACAAAAAACCTAACCTAGCCTAGGCATCATAGCCTAAATGGTTAAATTAAATTGAAACATTACATTTTACACAAGAAAAATGTTTAGGCACGAGCCGCAGGCGAGTGTGGAAAGTTTCTCAAGTGCATCAAAGTTAGTTTGCACTCGCATTACACATCATATTTTTCCTACAGTTTCTATCAAGCATATAAATAATTAGTCTTACAAACACTGTAAAATACGTTTTTAGGTTGGGTTAAATCCAAACATTGGACGGAATGGGAAACACTGCACCAGCTGATCGCAGTCGTAATACCTTTAAGTGTTGCCAACTTATTTTCAAGCCTACTTGTATTACGTGCCTAATAAAAGCACACTGTTTTCTGATGTTTGGTTGAAATACTGGTGTGGGGAAAAAAAGAAAAACTGTGCAGCAAAAGTAAAAAGGGTACACTTCCATATCTGTTGGCACAAACAACCGTATGAAATATCGATCAATGTAGGCGTATAGATTAATACAATAGATCGTTTGGTTAGTTAGGTAAGATTAGCATAACCTAACTAACCAAACGATATATCGAATTAAACAATCGAATAATCTATATTACTCATTCGGTTGTTTGTGCCAACAGATATGGAAGTGTACCCAGTAAAAAGTGTGCAGCAAAAGTAAGTAGATGCAGCACTTAGCAACTTTCTGTGCTATAATAAGTACAAGGAAGGCCACTTTGTCAGGTGCCTGTAGGAAAATAAATGTTTAAAAATTTTTTTGTGTATTTATTTTAAAATTAGCTCTACAACCAGCTGAAATCCCTCAGCAAAATATGATCCATGCACAGTAACATTCACTTCCTAACACAAATTATTGATTAATGGCTTTTAGGTTCGCAACAAACTCGATCGCTGTCTGTATGCAATCAAGAGGATACAGTTAAATCCAATGAACAAACTTCTTTATAAAAAAATAACAAGAGAAGTCAAGCTGTTATCAAGGCTGAACCATGAAAATGTTGTGCGTTATTTCAACTCTTGGATTGAAACCTCGGTTCAAAGTGACGACTCCTCACAAACATCTTCTTCTCCTGATAAGGTAACACCACTAACACGTAATATGCATCATTAGTCCAAGCATTAACAAGTGGAGAATATCAGTAGTCCACAGTTATAAACAATATACAGATCTTTTTTAAATGCTTTTACGCTTAGGGGTAGCGAACGAGCTCCAACCTAAAGGTGAGTGAGCGTAGCGAACAAACTTCAACCAGGATGTGATTGAGCCATGCGAACGAGATCATCTTGAAAATTAAGAAGTTAAACGGGGCAAAGCACGCGGGTTACAGCTAGTGATTTATATATGTATTTAAAGCTAAAATTCTCAAGTTTTATTAGAAACTTAGTATAACTTGATATGAGCCCATTAGTTGCCTGGCATAAAGCTAAACAAAATTTGACCTCGTCCCAGGTTTTGGTCAGTTCTTCAGGGTATCTTGCACCAACACATGCGACTATTCTCTGTCAGAGGTGATTCAGATCCCGAATCTGCACCAAGTGGTCATAATTCTTCACTACCCCCCCCCCCCCTCCCCAAAAGAGAAAGCCCAGAGGAGTCATATCTGGTCTCCTAGGAGGCCTTTGTATGGGCCCTTCCGTGTCAATCCACATATCTAGCGCTTCTCGCACCTGCAAACTGTAGTGTGGTGACACTCCATCATGTTGAAAATAGACAGGGCCATTCTCCATTTCAACGTCATCCAACTGTGGGAAAACGTACTCCTCTAGCATGTCATAATAAATGTCACCGTTTATATCCCCTGAAGTACTGACCAAAACCTGGGAAGGGGTCAAATTTCCCTTAGATTTATGCCGGGCTCAAGTTAGGATTTAATGTTGCTCATATCGAGCTATACTACATTTCTAATAACACTTAAAAAATTTAGCATTAAATCTAATATATAAAATTCTCGTGTCACAGTGTTTGTCTGCAAACTCCTCCGGAACGACTTCACCGATCGTTATGAAATTTGGTGTGTAAATTCTGTAGGTATGCGAATCGGACGTAAACTATTTCCCGTTTCGAAATTCTTAAAAGGGGCCGCCCCAGTGGCTCTGGAGTTTCCCATGTTAACCTTATGAGAAATGGAATTAATGAATCTTAACAGCTGTTTCAATTAAACAAGTTGGTTCTGTTCTATGATGTTCAATAGCATTAAAGTTACAAGGATTACCAACAGGGTGCAGCACTATTATTTCTTTTACATTTATGACAACAGCTAATTTGCAACCAAAAGGTGAGTGAGCGTAGCGAACGAACTTCAACCTGGAGGCGAGTTAGCGTAGCGAACGAGCTAACCTGAAGGCAAGTGAGCGCAGCGAACGAGCTCCAACCCAAAGGTGAGTGAGCGAAGCGAACGAACTTCAACCTGGAGGCGAGTTAGCGTAGCGAACGAGCTAACCTGAAGGCAAGTGAGCGCAGCGAACGAGCTCCAACCTAAAGGTGAGTGAGCGTAGCGAGCGAGCTCCAACCCAAAGGTGAGTGAGCGTAGCGAACGAACTTCAACCAGGACGTGATTGAGCGATGCGAACGAGATCATCTTGATTCAACCTGGAGGCGAGTTAGCGTAGCGAACGAGCTAACCTGAAGGCAAGTGAGCGCAGCGAACGAGCTCCAACCTAAAGGTGAGTGAGCGTAGCGAACGAGCTCCAACCCAAAGGTGAGTGAGCGTAGCGAACGAACTTCAACCAGGACGTGATTGAGCGATGCGAACGAGATCATCTTGAAAATTAAACGTAACGGTACTTTCTTTCCATCGGTCTGTCTTAGGGGAAACCTATAACTTAGGCGATACGAAGTTCGCCGGGTCAGCTAGTCTCTATATATAAATGCAAAATTCCGATCAACGCACAGGCCAAACCATACCACCTAGGAGCATGAAATTTTCCATACATATTCCTCTCATAGCGTAGGCAGACAATAAGAAGCGATTTTACAAAATTCCCAACAGGCCCACAGAAGGTCAAAGTTAGCATGGAGTTTGTATAGGAAGAATAATTTGTTTTGAGTTTTTGTTTACAATTTATTTGTCTGCAATTTATTTAATCATCAGCAGTTAGAATAAAAAAATAAATTTAACTTACTAAGGTTATTTCCAACCATATAAACATCATAGTTATGTGCCAGTGAAATTAACCTAATTAATTGTGGGCGTGGCATTTTAGTTTTATCAATTTCTAATAAGTGTGATTAGTGTTGAAGAAAGTATGAATTGAACTTAGTTTTTATTGCATTTGAATTTTTAAGAACTTATGATATTGGTCTGTTAATATTTTTGTAGTTGTGTAAACTTTCTGATAGTACTTACACTGAGGTTTTAAATGTTTATGGCGGGTTCGTTCCACACAATGTCATTCACATCACAGGAGACTGTGCGTGTTTATTTACTTCAATTTATTTACTTAATTCAAGGGAATACTTCTATGAAATGTCTAAGCTATTTACCTTTTGTTGGGTTGTGTGAGCTGGTTGACAAATAATCACATTTGTTTTCGAGGTTTATCGAAATGGTGAATTATATGTCAAGTTTGGTGATGAACGTATTACCTTGAAAAGACTCAGATTTACACAATCCCTGTCTAGCGGGCACTTCCACGTTTATCTTCACAAAAATGTAATTGAGGCCATAGTGATCACCGGATGTGCCTGAGGGGAATCATTTTTTATACTGCGACTTCCCCTGGTTCCTACGGACTACCCGTTTAAAGGTTGCAATTCCCTTTGAAAGTGTACTTCGCCCTCACCATCAACAAAGCTCAGGGACAGTCACTTAAGATCGCAGGATTAGACTTGAGAGAGGATTGTTTTTCTCATGGACACTTTTATGTTGCATATTCACGGGTCAGCTCAGCCACGAATCTGGTGATGCTAGCACCTTCTGAGAAAACAAAAAAATGTTTTATACAAAGATATTCTGTAAATAATCAAAAATAGTACGAATAACGAACACATGGGTGGGTTAACTGCTGTTTTGATCATTATCCTAAAATGAAATATCTATCTATAATATTAAAACGAAACAGTGTTTTTTTATTTCACGATTCTGAATCAACCACTCGACGGATTTTCATGATTTTTGTGTTGAAAGAAAGATAATTTTGAGAACTAGGGAATGTCGAAGCCATAAATTTAGTTTAGGGTCCCAGTTTTTTAGAAATTAAGTTTTAATTTTTAAAAAGTCTAGCAGCCGACGCTAAGATTCTAAACTAGCTTTTGGCATAAAATAATTTGCTTAACATAACAGCTGTAAACATTCAGCTTTTGTGTCACAAATTCAGTATTTGGATAAAAATGTAAAGACATACTTAGGGTTGACTTATTTATACTATGTGTAATGCAAATCATTGATACGTTCAATTCTTCTGTAAGAGGATGACAGATTAATTAAATTATACATAATTAAACATTAATTATTAATTATTAATTATACATTTAGTAAAATACTAGGATGTTCAAATTATTTTTTAAAGCAATCTTTGTAATCTTCGATTTGCTTTAGAGCAATATAATTTGTTTTAACTAACAGCTGGTTATATATAAACTATGGAACTATGAGGTTTTTTTATTTACTCTTATTTTGTCATTGATTATAGGAAATAAGTAAGATTAGTAGAGATAATTAGACCACAGCTTAAAATAGTTTAGACCAAAATTAATTAAACTACAGTACAAATCGAGGCTCTGTACACGAGTCTTAATAAAAAAGGATAAATGCAAATTATTTTACTATTGCACTTTTCGAGGAAAGAATAGAAAAATAACAATGTTTATATGTTTTAATTCTTCATGGTAGCTTTTTGTTTACAATTAATGTTTGTCTGCTTTAACTTTGTTTGGATTAGGCCTGGAAATATTGATGTCATCAAAAGAAGATCAAGAATAATCCGGAATCACGATTTTAAATTACCACCACAACCTCAGCCGAGTTTTATACAAAGATTGAACACAACGTCAACATTGACCTAGGATACTGCAATTAGACAAACCATCCTTTTATGAAATTGTGTTCAGTGTGGTTACGTTTGGGGGTGCCTATCAGCGCCCCCAAACGTGAAAATAACACTTTTATTTAAACTATGAATATATTGTAGTTTAAATTAACTAATATGGGAAATTACGATGTACACTTATTCAATGAGGGTGGGTAATTATTAAGGATAGAACTGATGACGGTATGGATAATAAACATTGACAATTACGTCATTAGCTTTACTAGCGTGTTTACTTTTTATATTCCTGCTACATGTGACCAGTTCTTTTAGTAATCGTGAGTTCTTTTTTTTCAAATGAATGTTATTTGAACCAAACAGCTGTTTCAAAACAAACTGTTATTATTTTTACTTTTCTTTGTTTACACTTATTTATTTAGCAATTAATGCAGTGAAATTGATATAAAGGATAGGTGTGACGATTTATGTGTACTGTGAATTTTATTGGATATTATCGTTTTATTTTAGGTCGTTTCTATTCAGACCTACTGGAAATTGTGTATAGTAGTTGTAATGTGGTGATAATAATTATGGAAGAGGCAGGTATGCTAGGGAAGGTGGTATCGTTGACTAGGTCTATACACTTCTCAATTGACTATTACTCTCTCTACTGTAGGCTACTTATAATCAGTGTGCGTCTGTGCGAATCGGCTGCAAATCTCACTTCAACGCTTTTCACATAGTAAAAATTGCAGAATTGCTGTTTTATTGTTAAATTATCGGATTTAAAATGCATATCGGATAGGCCTGTGATGGAAGAAAAACATATTTGGTCACACAACATTTGTTTACAAGATGATTTTTCACATTAAAACTGCAAGAAACTTGTCTTTATATTATGTGTAAACTAGCCCATCTGAATTGTACACGGTTTTAACTGACTACTGAATTCCTGTACGTAGGACGGGCTAACACCTCGTAAAAATTAAAATAATTTATTGTTTATTTTATGTGATTTATTTGATCTTAATCTGGCACTTAAACACTAATTTACTAAACATTTTAACCAATTTGAAATTTTCCGTAGCGAAGCACTGGTTTTCCGCTAGTATATATATATAAAACATTAAACATAGTCCCTTATTTGCTACCAATATTTGCCTTTAAAATGTTTCAGTTCTTTTGTGGACATCCTGTATTACTTCTTAACTTTGGTAATCCACTGCTTTGTATTAAAGTGGAATAATTGTATAACTTGCTACAATGCTGGCGTAATATGAAAATAAACTAATTGTAATGTTACTCTAGGTTTGTTGTTTTTTTTTTTGCTTAAATGTCGACTTAACACTTTGCTTATAGATGTAACAACAAATTGGCATAGACCACAGCCAACATAAAGAGATGGAAAAATAGTAAGTAACTCATACCTTGTGTTTAATAATGGGGAACAAGAAGGGCAGCGCAGCGTCACCATTTCACCTACACAAATCTACCCATCTGTACAACAATAACAAAGAAAGTTGTGATAGGTTGTCTTTTGTAACTGAACAGAATTCAAAACCTGGAAAAATACCAAAACTTGATATGGCATGGTTTTTTAAATGATTTATTATGAAGATATGTTACAGCTCAGATGACTATGGAAGGATTGAGATGATCTAATGATGAGTGAGTGTTGTTGTAATGTAGGTTGAGAAGTTGGACTGTAAGGTTGTGGAGATGTTGCCAATCAAGGAGGTGAGTGTGGAGTGGGACTTGTCCAAGGCCTGTAGTGAGAGCTCCGAAGACAGCTCTGATGACAATTGTTGGATAACATTTTTGTAAGTGGCCTTGAAGTTAAAAGAAAATGTTAATTAATAGGATTAGCAATTACAAACATTGCATACATTTTCTTTTGAATAGTTCATGACCAGTTATTTTTTATAAAAAATAATCATAATTTAATTTATTCGGGTTGATATGCAACAATAGCAGTGGTTTTAGGGATCTTTAGCAGTTGTGATTGAGAAAAGGTTGTTGGAACTAGTAGAAGGGCATTTTCTGACCAAGATAACCAGGAGTTGTGCATGAATTTTAATGACAGAAATAAGTCTGTGTATGTGGACGTTGCAGGGAAACATTTCATATTCACCAACAGCCTCAGGCTAAGTGTCCATTCATTAACAGACACTAATGGTGTCAAGTAAATTAAGATTAGGAATGATCATTTATGTTGCTATAAAAAGTTTACAATGTTGCTGTGACCACACTGTTAGAGGATTGTAAACATCCTTGTTTTAAGTTCAAAGAGACAAGAATCAAGGTTAGTTTTGAGAAGTCTAGATATAAAACTTTTCTAATAGGAAAAGGTAAACCAGTAAAACACTGTAAACAGTTTCATCAACAAAAGTACTCTCCTTTTACCGTGAAATCAGAACAATCAAGAGTACTTGTGCGTTACTAACAGACCTTTTTCAACATTACTTCAATCCAGGCAATGTTGACTATGACCATTAATCCCGTTGACTCCTCCTGGAGCATAGGGCCTCGACTGTTCCTCTCCATCAGACCCTGTTGGTTGTTGATCCCTTCCCAGGATTTTCCTTTCTCCTTCAACTCCTCAACCAACGTCCTTTTCCAAGTTTCTGGATCTCCCACTCTCCTGCTTCCAGGGGGTTCCTCTCCAATGCCTATTTAGCTCTTTATGTTGACTATAGTTTTGTAATTTTATTTAACACTGTATCATGCAAGTGACATTGAAGTGTTAGCACACAAAAGTTAAGGTTAATTCTGTTTTACTTGTAGGTCTGATCTATATGAGATGTCTTATTCAAGGTAAGGTTTATTTTGAGCCTTCACCAATTTGCAACTATATTCATCTGGGTTAAACCAAAGATTTTAAAGGAGCACCATAAGGGTGGAAGTAAAAATGGAAAAGAGTATTAAGAATTTTAAATGAACTAAATAATCAACTTCTTCAGTATAATTCCCCATCATATTTCCATATACATTGTTCTTAAACTGAGAAATTTGCAAAGGAATATTTTTTTTGTACTGGCCTAACATTACTATATCTTCACCGCCACTGTCCTTAAGACTAGGGGTTCTAGTTTTGGAGCTGATGACATTAGTTCAGGTTCAATTAGTTCTAGATTGCGCTGGGTTGGTTTCTATATTCTTTCATGCTGTAAAATGTGTGGTCAGTTAGAAAGAAAGCTTTTCTAATCTGGTTTGAGCCTAGTGTTGCTTTTACTGATAGTGGGAGGAAGTTGAAGAATTTGCAGTCTGACATTTGTAATAGATTAAATTTTCAAATTTAGTGTACCTAAGGGTTTAGGTACTTAAAGATGTGTCTATGTAAGTAAAAGCCCGCTATGCCCAGCATTGGTCTAAAGGATTTTTAATTGTTGTTTTAAGCCATATTACGCGTGTTTGGCAAAGTTGGGAGTGATTGAATGTGCCGGAGGCGATTGGCAAACTAAGATAAGAAAATGGCCAAAAAATGGAATGGGTCACACTGGTCAACAATTTTCTTTGAACACAATAAGCAGTATTTTGCTTGTCTTGCTATTACTTTCAATAATTTTGCCTAAGTGCCAGATTAGCGTATACTGTACTTTGTGTGGTACAGGCCAGGCTCCAGTGATGAGACCAGCACTAGAGACACTGAGATACCAGAGTCAGATATTACTACCAGAGAGAGTGCTACAGAGAGTGTCACCAGCTCTACCCATCAGTTTATGTACATTCAGATGGAGTTCTGCGAGAAATCAACTCTTAGGTAAGATAAATCATTTACAGAATTAGCTTTGACATCATCTTTGGCTTAGTAGAACATTCAATGTCTTCTTTTAATCATAGTTATTCACCAATTATAATCATATAAATTTTCGGTTAAGTACCTTTATACAAAATTTAAGGAGTGGTTAGTGAGATCTGGTTTGCTATGTTTGTATTAAGTTCTAGACTTAGTGTAAGATTGACAAAGCTACAAAATAAACTTGACAATGCTTATCACATTGCATGCGTGTCCGAGCGTGCCTTCATCGGAGAAAGGCAGAGCAATGCTAGCTTCTATCTGTGTGTGCTAGCTTCTAATACATTGTACTAGCTTGCTTTATTTTGTGGTTTTTTGGTATTTTTTGCTGGTGTATCTGGGTCTTTTGCCCTAACTTTGTCCTTGCATTTGGCAGTACTGAGGGTCTGCTAGCAATATTGTTTAGTACTGCTGTCTGTCGGTTTCTTGTAGAACTACATCCACAAACACTGGAATGATTGGAATGCAGTACATGCTATAACATGCTGTGGCTCTTCTATTGGATGAAACAGAATCTAAACAGTTTTGTGCACACATCCACACAGCACATTGGCTGTTCCCACTTTGGCCATTATGCTACAGTAGCCAATGTGTTAAGCTGCAATCTCAAAACTGGAAATAACAGATATTTTTTACTTTCATTAAGGCTGCACCTGATTAAACTGTCTATTAAATTTCAGTAATGTAGTATCAAACTGCACTCCTTGCCAAAAACACTGAGGAGTGATAACATATTTCATATAACAAACCTTTTTGTATATTGTATTTTTCAGGACGGCTATTGACAACGGATTGTATAAAGATGAGAAGCGTGTTTGGCGGTTGCTCAGAGAGATTGTGGAAGGCCTAAGTCACATTCACCAACAGGGCATTATTCATCGAGATCTAAAACCCGTGAATGTCTTCATCGATAGTGAAGATCACGTAAAAATTGGAGACTTTGGCTTGGCTACTACTACTATCCTTCATAAGTTAGTTTGTATACATCAACTAATAGAATATGAATAAAATAAAATACATCAGAATAAAATCACTGTCGGCGATATCGGGCCCGCAGGGCCTGCGGTGCGGGGGGGGGGGGGCCCGCAAGCTAGGGGGGCCCGTGAGCCTTGACCGGGATTTTTCAACAAATTTTACCGGGATACGGGCCCGCGATTGTGCGACAGGCTCAGCCACACTAGCCCCCTATCATGACAATATTTATATGAGAATTACCACGCGTTTTTTTATGACGAAAATTTGTTCAAACCAGTAAGAGCACTAGGACAAGTAGTTTACAACAGCTAAACTGACACTATTACTTTAGCGATCGATATAAATTCTCTACCAACCTGTAAAAGAATTGTCATCAGTCATGCAGGTTGCCTCAACTGTTCTCGTGGACTGTGTGAAGGCGCTATAATAGGGCCGTATTTATAACCAATGTGGCCTCCGGCCTAGGAGGATAGGACATTAATGTTAATCCTCCTAGCCCCCGGCTGTCACACCAGAGAGGGCCCTCTAATCTGATTCAAATAAATGAACTTGGCAATTGTTTTACAATCTAATCGGCAAATTAACCTGGGTAGCTAGGGCACTAGCTAATAAATAATTCCATTCTTTCATTGAAGCTAAAGGAGGATTTTCATTTCATTTCATTTTTTACTATTAGGAGGCTGCCCTTTAGATTTGTTTACTTCGCACCTTAGATTTGTTCACTTCGAGTCAGGTTGAAAATGTTACTTACCTATAAGCCTCAGGCCAAATCAGATCGGTTCAGAATCGGTTTGCTTTGAAAACGGTTGATTTTTATAATATAATGTCGATTTTCGAGCCAAGCAGAGCCTGGCTTACAAGCTTGAGAGATTAAGCACAAGTAAGAAAATCAAGCTTGAGCCGATTTTCTCAATACTCAATACAATAATGCCCAATTAAAAGTAAAAACTTTTATGTCCGCGAGGATTACACTCACGAAATTGAAAGATTAGGCCTACGCTTTTGCCGCGATCGCGGATATCGACGAGAACATTTCCCCGCGGGTGACGATGACGATGTCTCTGAGGCCGAAGGAGATGTTCAATATTCGGCCGCAATTGCGGAATACGATAATGACGTTTCTTTTTCAGCGAGAGATATATCTAGAATTTTGCCGCGATTGCGGAAAAAATTATTTCCCCGTTACCACCAATGGGTCGCGGGAGATATTGGGCCGTGAATGCGGGAGACAATGATGTTGCTACCTGATGATGTCATAGGTTTGGTTACATTTGCCATCACGGTAGACTATGATATTGTTTCTTCCATGACTACGGGATGTATTCACTTGCCGCGATCATGGAATACAATGATGACGCCTCGGGAGATGCCTTGTAAAGTTTTATTGGAAAAATGCAAGTTTAGGCGGTAGTACATGTGAACACGTTTTTAAAGATTATTGGGAGAGGGGGGCCTTTTGAGAGGTTTGGACCACTTTACCTTAAAAGCTTTAGTGAATCCTTCACTAGAAACGCCACTGGTGGCATTACAAGAATAAGAAGAAAGTATTTGATTTATTCTAATGAAAAACTTGAAATCATTGTGGATTTACGATTCCAATAATCTTATTGTACTGATGCAAACTTTGCAAGTAACATGAACTAACTGTACCTAATAAATGTGTACACAATATACCTAAACAGAGATACTCTATTTAAACATTTCACCATAGAATGGCTAAAGTAATTAGTTTGTTTTGTTCAGGAAGGGAGCAGTGCTGGACCAAACTGAGTTGTTGGGCAGTTTGGGTGAAACCTCGCACACAGGACAGGTTGGGACTGCTTTATACGTTGCTCCAGAACTGAACACATGTTGTATCAAGACCACATATAATCAGGTGAGTTCTCAAAACATATGATGAACTAAAAATGATAATTTGCTGTGTTGTGTTGTTTATTAAGATAAAAATATTATAAATAGGATTTCTTTGAAAGCTGCTCCTGAGATTGTGACATTAATACCTGCCTATGACCTTAATAGTGATCTAAATATTACACAATAATCAGTGTATTAGTTTCATTTGAGGAACCTGTAAGTCCTATGTCTTATTTCACAGAAAGTGGACATCTATAGCCTAGGAGTGATGTTCTTTGAGATGTGTTACCGACCACTAGACACTCACATGGAACGTATGAAGGTGTTGGCAGACTTGCGCACAGATGAGTGTGTCTTGCCTTCCGACTTTGTCGACAACAACAAGTTGACCAAGACTCAACTGCTCAGGTAGCAAGACATTTGCAAATCTGTATATACAGTGTAATGTATATGTATGTATTGTATACAACTGCTGTATACTAATAATTTTGTGTAAGGTTGTGGTGAAATGCAGTAGTATGAGTGTTAATAAAGATACGTGGGCCCAATATATCTTCTACCAACCACCGCTAAATCACCCACATTTCCTGTCGTAGCTAAAACTCTATTGAAAATAATCTAACTACGATTCTGATCTCATCTCTTTACAAACTTGATTTTATAGTGCTGTAGACCTGTTGTTTAGGCTGATCAATCAATATAGCAATCAATATAAACTATCAACAACAATCATACAGGCATTAACAAAATGCTCTTTGAAAAAAAAACAATTACCACCTACGATAGTAATAACTTAGCTTCAACATGAATTATAATTACAAAATAGTTTACCAAAACATAAACATGAACAAAATTTGAAGACAGGCAGTTGGTAGACGACAGCTGACGATCAACCAGTAGGAAATGCCCACAGGCATTCAAAGCTTCAGATTTCAGCTAATGGATTTGCCAACGACTTAAAAACAATAAACAAATTCCTGCTTAGTTACTGTATACAAATTATTGAAATCTGATGAATACTTTTTGATTTACAGCCAGTTTATTGACTCACTACAAAATGGTTTGCGATCACGGCGTTAACACTTGGAAACGGACAAAAGAGACCTTATCCCAACACATATCATTTCTAGGGTTAATAATTTATGGGGGTTCATGTGGAAACTACTGGCTGTCTTGGCTTGATGGTTGCAGATGGATGTTGAACCACGACCCCTTGCAGCGGCCCAACTCCGCAGAGCTGCTGCAGAGTGAGTTCTTGCCTCCCCCGCAGTTTGAGGAGTGTGAGCTGCAGGAACTGTTGAGGAGGACAATCAACAATCCTCAGAGCAAGATGTACAAGTACCTAATGGCTTCATGCTTTAACCAGGTCTAACCCTCCAGATCCTACACAACATTGTTGGCTATATTTAATTGGATAATTTGTATACACAAATGGAAGATTACTTAATGTACAAAACAGTTCTCTGATGGTTTAATATTGACTGAAAGACAAAATTTAAACTATTCTAGTATCTGTTATTTGTTATTTAAATGTTATTATTTTTTCTGGAACATTCTGTATATACCCCCTCATCTGGCGTTAAAATAATTATAATGAGTTAAATTATTCCATTGTGTTTAGTAATTTAACCATATCCGAAATTCCTGAACTAGATTTTATCTGACTATATCTTACTTACTATTCAATGCAATTTCATATAAAAAATAAATTTTACATAGTTAATAAATAAATATTGTTAACATATTTATTTATAAATGTAAAAAAAATCATGTTTGTTGTAGGAATGCTTATAAACTGATTTAATTCCCATGGTTATATAATCACCCTATACTACTATACTACAGTTAAACCTATTCAGCTTTGATACTGTCCCTAATTGAAAATCTATATAAAGATAAGAACCAATTTAATAGACCTCAGTCTCTCAGTGTTAACGTTCCTAGCACTTATTTTACATCTTAATAACATTTACGCCCATGAATGTTGTCACATTCTTTGGTTGGTTAAAATTTTCAATCAACCAATAAATAGGGAAGAAGTAGCTATGAACTTAAAATTAAATTTTGGATTATTAATTTATTTGACAAAAAAGGTGATACATAGTTTTAAGGATTAATATAAAGGCTACTGGCTACATTTTTGTTAATTGGATTTCATCACATCACTAATATTATTTTTATGTAAACAGAAAATGACAACTGCTCAGAATGTGACCTACGACATGTCTATCAGCAAGAGCCGAAGCTATCAATATCTTTTACAGCAAGTTGTTGAAAAAACTAAAAAGGTATGTTGCTGAAATAGTCACTTTATTTTTATTAGTGAAAATAATATAATGAATAATTGCCGGTGTAAATCCCTACTTCATAGAATGTTGTAAGGTTTGTTTAATCATACAATGTATTTTCCAACAAGATTGGTGTTGATCATCCTTTTTCAAGTCAAGTTTTTTCCTCTTCAAACATCACATTCCGTGTGAATCTAAGAGATGAAATATTATTGTCCTAAAATAAAACATACAGGCCTAGCCTACCATTGTAATAAATGCTCAACCCAAGGGTCCATCAAATTAACATGATGAGAAACATACAGTAGACCTTTTGTTGAGATCTGTTTGGTTCAAAATTAGATGATATGGACACCAAAATGTGAAATTACTTGCCGCTTTGTCCATAGACTAATAAAAAATCCATTCACATTGGTTCACCGTTTAGTTATACAGATTCCATTATCAAGGAGTGTACTACTATAGAACTGCACACACATTTGGTTTTAAAATGTATCTACTCATGCTATGTAATAAGTACCCGATAGTTCAACATTTTAAAATTCAGGAAAGGGTCTGGTCCAAAAAAGTCTGAATGTGAGTCTACTGATCCTAGGATGACAAAAGTAGTGCTGTTTGACAACATTGCTTTATTGTCGGTTGTTTGACCACCAAACTACCAAAGTAAGTTAATTTTTGACAAATTATCACGTCCCATTTTGTGAATTTTTCTATAAAGGTATATTTTACCTCCATGCAGTTGACTTATAACAACACACATACACTACAGGTGTTGGAGCTGCATGGCGCTGTCAGCTTGTGTCCACCTCTCATGATGCCGAGTGGGCTTTGTCCTCTACCCCCCTCCACAGTGTCTGTGATGACTAGGTGGGGAGGGGTGGCGATGCTGCCTCATGACTTGCGACTGCCGTTTGCACGCTTCCTCGCCCACAACCCCACCATCTCACAGTTCAAGCGTTACTCCATAGACCGGGTGTATAGGGAACGCAGGGTGCTGGGTCACCATCCTAGAGAACTGTATGAATGTGCTTTTGACATTGTCACTCCAACATCAGGTAAGCTCTACAACACATATTAGTACAGGAGACTCCCTCTTATCCGGACACCTTTTAACCGGACATTGGTTTAACCGGACCACACTCGGTAGAAGTGACATCTCTTTATCCGGATATTTGTTATCAGCACATCGGTTTAACCGGACTAGATCGGCAGGAAGTGGGCGGTACTGAAACAACTGTTCTCGTGGGAAAGATTTGAGTGGTTACGTGTCTAAATACAATGCTCTCCTAATTTTAAGTCAAATACTGTATAGAGTATGCATTTAAATGGTCCGTTTTAATGAGATTTTGGGGACGTCGGTTTAACCGGAAAACCCGTTATCCAGACTGGCCTCGGTCCCAAGGAGTCCGGATAAGAGGGAGTCTACTGTATTGCCTAAGCTTATGAAGCCTATTCTGGGTTGGCAAGGGCAGCCTACTAAAGTTGCAACTAGTTACAGTATCTCAAATTTGTTAAATAGTAGCTTAAATTTTTTCTGAACAAAGTATCGGTTTGTGATAAATTTTTTTCATCCGTTTCTCTTTTTGTCAACAGGCTTGTTATATCACTATTTTTAAATGTAAATATTATTATAAGACATAGATTATTATTACTATAATTCGTTCACAATATTTTGGCGGTTTTAAGGAAAGAAATATATCCCCTCCACTTGACCCTTACCTTTAAATTAATAGGTGTTGGGGGAACTTCTCCTCAAACTGACTTAATATTGTGAACGTAGTATAGTGAATGATCAGATGTGTCTATTAATTAATTTCGGAAAGTAACATTTTACTGATTCAAATTTTAAGTAATAAAAACCTCTGCAATCATTTTCTTTGTTGATTGAGAACTGTCATAACTTCTTGATAAGGTCAAAACAGTAATATAATTTTATATAAAACCTTTAAGTCTAGAAAATTTAAATGATGTAATTTCTGATGTAGGAGACATGTTGGCAGAGAGTGAATTGTTGGCTTTTGTGTGGCAAGTGCTGAATGAGTTCCCATTTCTGCTACATCATAACTGTGTCATCAGACTGAACCATACAAGTCTCTTGCGAGCAATATTCCTGCACTGTGGTATTGAGGCGTCCAAACACAACAGAGTCTGCTCCTTCTTAGAACAGGCCAAGGTATGAGTATCCAAGGTTATGTGTGTTGTAATTATTTTAAGGGAATGTACGTAATTTAGGTCATCCACAGATTTGAGAGTGAGTACTATCATTGACTACTGGTTACTGAAGTAGACATCACATCTATATGGACCAGCTGTCGCCAATTTTCATTAAAAAGGAACATAGATGTGTGAGCCAGTCACAGAATGTTTTAGTGTCTAAAATTAGAATTTCTACCTTATTTATTTGTTGCTGACCAAGTTGATGGGTTATAACAGTTGCTTCAGCTCTCAATTAGCCATTTCATTAGATAGACTTGGTAAAAAGTTTGTGTATTTGACAATTAGTCATTTAGATCAGCACAATCTTTTGGTGGCTCACATGAACTACGACAATTTTGAAAAAAAGCTGGCAACAACTTTAACGATGGGATGGGATGTCTAGTTGTATCAATAGTCAAAGGCACTTTATACAGGGTGAGTTTCTACTGACCGTGTTAACGGTCGAAAATCGGACATGGGTTTATACGAACTTTTTTGTTCCTTTTAGTGAGTAGAACCCACTGGCGAAGTTAACACGGTCAGTAGAAACTCACCCTGGGCATAAAAAACTAATACACTGGTTTAATTTTTACACAGTTCAAATTGTGTGTTGCATCCTCATGCAGCTTGCCTTTCAATTTCAAATTCTATGGCAAACACAGTCATTTAGTCATTTCTCATGAGCAATCCTTACAGTAAATTTGAATCTGACTGACTAAAGTACCATAATAATTCTCACAGTTAAATACATAAGGAGAACTACAATTTATTGATCACATACCATAGTGAAGTAAAAAACACTAGAAAAATTAAAGTATAGGGTGATCAACTAAAGGAGGCCACCATTGGGATATCGGAAACGGTAAGAATTAGAGAAAACTTTAAAAGGGGAACATTACTTTATTTTTTGTGGCAGTTAAAAATATGAGTTTAGTTAGCCCTCCTAGTGGCTAAAGGTTCAAGTTTATAAAAAAAAATGCCAAGAATAAAAAAGTCTTAAAATTTCATTTTCTATAAGAGTGGGTGTTCTATAAGAAATTTCAAAGTTGGCCGTAATATTGGAAAATTTTGCCGAAAATATCGGAATGAAATTGAAAAGCCGAAATTTAAAAAAACTAAATTCATATTTTTAACTGCCACAAAAAATAAAGTAATAAAGTAAGTAATAAAGTAAGCAAGTTCCCCATTTAAAGTTTTCTCTAATTCTTACCGTTTCAGATATCCCAATGGTAGGTCCGTGAAGTTAGCCCCCCCCATAAAAGCACTAACAATAAAACTAGTATTAATGGTTAGTGCTTCGTTAGTGCTGGTTAGTGCTTCAACTCCCGTCGTTAGTGCTCTTACGGTTCAGGAGCTATAACCAAAAAACTGTGGGTGGGGCCAACTTCACGGAAGTTAGCCCCCCCCAGTAGTAATATGTGAGCACTAACTTTAAAAACTGTACCAACACTTAGTGCTTCGTTAGTGCTGGTTAGTGCTTCAACTCCCATCGTTAGTGCTCTTACGGTTCAGGAGCTATGACCAAAAAACTGTGGGTGGGGCCAAATTCACGGAAGTTAGCCCCCCCCCATAAAAGCACTAACAATAAAACTAGTATTAATGGTTAGTGCTTCGTTAGTGCTGGTTAGTGCATCAACTCCCATCGTTAGTGCTCTTACGGTTCAGGAGCTATAACCAAAAAACTGTGGGTGGGGCCAACTTCACGGAAGTTAGCCAACCCCAGTAAAAATATATACAGTACTAACTGTTTTTTGATAGGCTAATGTACTTAATGAATCCTTGCCCTATGTGAGGATGGGATAACTTCCCTGGGGAAATATTACCTTTTATTTAAAGCTTTTAAAAATGTGTGGAGTCTAGTTGATATAATTGTGTGGAGCTGTCTTTCAATCGCCTTAAAAATCTAACCTCGGAACTAGAGCTTTTCATTAAAACTCCAGGAGCATTCACTAACCAGCGCTGACCATTTACACTATTTTGAAAGTTAGTGGTCACATATTACTACTGGTTAGGGGGGAGGGGGTCTAACTTCCGTAAAGTTAACAACGCAACAGTTTTTCTAGTTACAGCTCCTGAACCGTAAGAGCACTAACGATGGGAGTAGAAGCACTAACCAGCAGTAACGAAGGACTAACCGTTGGTACAGTTTTGAAAGTTAGTGCTCACACTATGGGGGGTAGTGAGTCGGTGGCTGAGTCGATAGCGTCGCGGACTTCGGATGTCGTCAGTTCGGATCCTGGTCACTGCCACTAAAATTTATCAGTACGGTTCACCTTTGTACCGGCTCACCCCTTTCTTTGCTGTAAACGTTCCACGCACGGGCGCTTAGTCTATGTGGATGGGCTAACCGTTGGTACAGTTTTGAAAGTTAGTGCTCACGTATTACTACTGGGGGGGCTAACTTCCGTGAAGTTGGCCCCACCCACAGTGTTTTGGTCATAGCTCCTGAACCGTAAGAGCACTAACGATGGGAGTTGAAGCACTAACCAGCACTAACGAAGCACTAACCGTTGGTACAGTTTTGAAAGTTAGTGCTCACATATTACTACTGGGGGGGGGCTAACTTCCGTGAAGTTGGCCCCACCCACAGTTTTTTTGTTATAGCTCCTGAACCATAAGAGCACTAACGATGGGAGTTGAAGCACTAACCAGCACTAACGAAGCACTAAACATTAATACTAGTTTTATTGTTAGTGCTTTTATGGGGGGGGCTAACTTCATGGACCTCCCAATGGTGGCCTCTTTGAGTTGATCACTCTGTATATGTAACACTTGTACGTCAAATTATAGTGAATAAGAGATTTAATTTAAGCACTATCATTCTGCCTTACCTCTTCTTCCTGTTGCGAAGCAGGGGTAGAAATAGTACAGAGGGATAGAAAGTACAGTAAAACCTCAGTAACTAGACAATTTGTGGATCCATATGTTGTCTAGTTTAGGGGTTGTCGACTGTCGAGCTATCCAGAACATTAAAGTTTTTAATAGGTTTTAATATATGAATACATAACAGACTTATTTTTTACATATAAGTTTATTACTTACGTAAGTATTTTTACATATCAAGTGACTAATATAATGGTTTGAAATACCTTCAGTCACCAGTTCAAATAAGTCGGCTGTTGCGACCTAGGTTTCAGCACGAAGTTGTACCATCATCAGGCGGGCCAGTTTTGAGTCTTCAGTCCAATGGACGTCGTTGGGTTAAAACAAATAACATTTCACGACATATGTACGACATATGCACGACATATGTCGTGAACTGTTATTTGTTTTAACCCAACGACGTCCATTGGACTGAAGACTCAAAACTAGCCCGCCTGATGATGGTACAACTTCGTGCCGAAACCTAGGTCGCAACATCCGACTTATTTGAACTGGTGACTGAAGGTATTTCAAACCATTATGTTAGTTATTATAACCAGTTCAGGGGCAATCCCACATCTTATTGTGTCGAAATTATATCAAGTGAACAATCTTCAAAGAAATGTGGAATATTCAACAATTAAAACTTGAAAAGTCCGACACAGTAGTAAGACAAAGCCAGCTGGACATGCACACTGTCAGCTTTTGATTGTCGAGTTACTGGGTGTTGAGTTAGTGAGATTTTACTGTACTAATAATCCTTAAAAAAAGCAACATTAAAATTAAAATTAGAACTAATAAATAGTCTTGGCGTCACTGAAAATTAAAAAGAGAAACAGTTAGCCGCTAGCCACAGTGAATTATGCTAAAATGAACCGGCGATGTATAATTTGAAACTTTCAGACTGAACCGACTTATTAACCAGCCAGTAAGTCCACAAGATTGATGAGTACTACGGTAATAGCTTATTCCCTATATGGGAAATTCACTAAATAATGAATCATGCACATGGTGGATACTCCGGTGCTGTTTGCAGGAAGACAGTTACAACAAGAGTCATGTTGAAGCGTTGTTGTCTTCACTTGGTCTGACAGAACACATTGTCTCAGCATTGTTCAACTTGCTGGACCAAGAGAACACGTTTGGACGTGTCTCTACCACATTGCAGACAGCCTTCAGACGTAACTCTGTCTCTGCCTCTCTGTGCAAACAAGCTCTCCACCAACTGGAGCTCACCATCAGCCATGCTACTGAGCTGGGAGTCAAGGTACTCATGTTGAATTATATATATCTAACACAAAAATAGACAATTAGACAGTTAGTCCACTGTCAGTTTTGGTCCTAGAAACAATAATGGTTTTTGGTTTTAACAATAATTTGATATTTTTTTATTGTTATACTTGTATACTTGTGCTTCTCCTTTATGATGTAATTAAAAATATTTGCCTATTCTGAACAGTAGTTACATTTATACACAACAGACAATTAAACAATTTTATTTCAATCTTTTCACTTACTTTTTTAAATAACCAACTGCATTATGACATAAGTTTTATTAAATAAAGTGTACAGAAGGTCTTTCACAATGTTGCTTTACTTGCTTTACAATGGTCTTACAATGCTGATTTACCCAGTTAATCAGCATAGTCAAAGCAATAGGACTGGAACTGAATTATGGAAATATTTGAGATTGTTAGACATTTTAAAAACTGAGATGTTGAAGTACTGTGATAATTTAAATATAAATAGGTAATGTGTTTTTTTTTTAAAGATGAATTTAGGCTAGGGTTTTTAAGGAATTTTTAATGAGTAGGTTTAACAGCAGGCTTATCCTACTGACAAAAATGTTATGAAAAAAATAAACACAGAATTTTCTCAGGTAACTATCTACCGGTAGCTGCTTCTTCAGTAGTAGTCTTTGCTCTTGGCCTCTGTGTTTATTTATGTTTTTTAATCTATTTAAAACTATGCATTACAAAATCCTGAAATATTTTAACTTTTAAATTCATAGTCACACCTTTGTTATTTTCCAGTGTCCCATAGTGGTGTCACCAGGACTGGTAGACAACTTGTCATTTTACTCAGGGATCATCTGTCAAGTAGTCTGGGAGCAGCGCAACAAGCAAGGTCGGAGCCAGCGGACTATCATCGCAGCTGGAGGCCGCTACGATTGCCTCATTGCCAGTTTTAGGTATAAAACTCTACATGATATACAGCAGCATGTGCTTACTTTGATCTTCTCAGTTCAAATTTATCTCTTGGTCCTTAAACTACCATATATAATCAATGTAAAAATAATGTGGGTGATTTAAATATGATTTAGGGGATGGCTCAAATTGTTTTGAACATCATTCCACGAAAACTAGGGCTTAACAAGACCAATACAAACCATAGTGATCAACACTGTGTATCACGTAATCCAATCAATGTTATTGCAGTTTCCTTTCCTACTTTTAGCGAATTTCCCTATAGGGAAGTAGCTATTACCGTAGGTGGCACGGTAAGACCTAGACCCGGGACCGATTTACTTTTTCATTTTGATGTCCCCAGAGGCCAAAAACACCATTCGTTCAAATTTTTATATATGTATATATAGACTTATATATATATATGTCCGTGAACGCGATAACTTGAGTAATATTTGTCCGATTTTGATGAAATTTGGTTTAAAGGTGTAAAGCGGGCTAAACTTGAATGAGTTCGCGAACCAGCACGATCGGACCATGGGAACGGGGCTTTACGGGGGGTTTTATGGGGTAAAAATTGGTTTTTCTCACTTTGACCCTCAAAACACAAAATTTCCCGATTTCTCTTTAGACCTTTTTAAAAAGCTTAAAAAAAAACAAATGATTTAGTATATAAAAGTATTTTTGTTCGATTATTAGTAACGGAGAAAATGAAAAAAATTGTAAATTTAAAATTCCCATGTTATTCTTATGGAGAATATTGTCAAATGTTGTAGTTTGCTTGTTTATGGATATATTTTTATCAATCTTGGCAAATTTATTTATTTTGTACTAAGCTATCAATATTTTACTCAAAAACACACTTTATTAGTTTCCTTGTAGCAGCAAACCTAGGTACTCGTTAAACCTAATGTTATTAAAATATATTTCACTGAAAATCAATTCAGACAAATGGAAATTCGCTTAGTCGGCAGGTTTGCTGCGGCGGGGGTATATTTACAGTTGTAGTAGTTAGAGCGTAGGACTTATGTCCCGGGTTGAAATCCCACCAAATTACCAATGGATTTGATCTAAGTGATAATGCCGCAACCCCTAGGTCTAGCCTGAAGTAATGTGAAAAACAGTCCCGGCTCGTGCCTAGCGTCCTTGGACAAAAAATAAACAAAAAAAAACTACCCTTGACAACTGTGACGTTTTTTTTAATTTTCATATCGCCTCTGGGCCTAGCTATCTACCTGCTAATCCTTGTTTTGCGCAGAACTGTCCATCAGTTGGTTAATCACAGTGATCTTATATCCTCTCATGACAACGATCATGATGTTTTTTTTTTTTGGGTTGAATTTCTTATGTAATTTTAGTCAATTATCGTTATAAAAAAATGTTGTGAAATCAACAACCCACAAACCTTTGACGATAGACATTTTCTTAACTTGTTTAATTGAAATTTGTCTACAGTTAATTTTATTTCTGTTCAGGTTTCTTTGAGTTGAAATATATAAGTTGTTCACTGTATGCTAGACAGATGCAAGATGAAGGACAAGGAGTGTCAGGTCAGAGTGCTGTAGGTGTGAGTGTATCACTAGACAAGCTGGCCACTGCTCTTGCAGCTGATCAGTGTGGTTTGGCTCCTGTAGATGTTGTCGTCTGCTCTGTAGGCACCAGCGCCACTACACGGGACAAGCTCACTCTGACTAGAGACCTGTGGACAGCTGGGGTCAGGACATACTTGCTTGACTCCAACCAGGTGATACTAACTATCTTTAGCCAGTAGGTACGTTATAAACTTTATAACCTGACATGTTCATTGTTCAAAACTTACAGTTCACCATCTAAAAATAGTTGTTATTAGGTTACAGTGGCAATACCTTTAAAATGGTGAGTTAAAAGTTCTATTAACAGGCTATTTTCATCAAAATGAGGTAATTTTCCAAGTATGTTTAAACTCGGTCAATTTCTTACAAATCCTGCCAATCATGCCTAAACTTTTCTAATCATACCTCAAAGGGTTAATCAATTCAGTTTTCAGTAAAAATATTGGTAATTTTAAGAATCTGTAAATGAAATTAAGGTGTCTGTTTTCTCTGAAATGAGATGTAGTAAATCAGTACTTCAAAGTTTTAAGCTTTTACAAGTTTGTAAATGAAAATCTTCTATGATTAGTTTTCTAATTTAACATTTCTTTCCAAATTTTCAATTAAAAGGTTTTATACCTACCAAAGTTATAGGAAAGGATTGTTACGCCAGTGGGATTTTTGATTGTGAATAACATTTTTTGTTATAATTATGTTTACTTAATTTATTTATCGATAGATATACTTAGATTGTGAGTGATGATAATTGACATAATTTAAAATATGTAATCTATTGTCTCATTTCAGAATTTAGAAGAAATCCAGAACTTTGCTCAGGAATTGTGTGTTCCTCATATTGTTATGCTAAAAGATACTGATCCTGGATTTGTTAGGATACGAACATTGAATAAGGACAGGTAGGCTATTAATTCAGTTTTCTTGTTGTATGTTTCTTAAATATTAACATTAACAGAACTGTGGCAATTGATCCATTGCCAAAGGATAACAATACGGATTATTTTAGTATGAATAGCCTCCTGATTGCGAAGAATAACTAATAATAATGGTTTGAATTCCTGATTATGGCAATCCAATTATTGTGTTCACAACTAGTTTCGATCTGCTAAAGAGATCATCATAAGGTGAGTACAAGGATGCTTACTTCACATGAAGGTCGTCAGGATTAAAAGTTTTTGACATATACACATAGACGAACACAAACACATAGCTCGCACACACATACGGCCGATAAAACAAAATTGTAAACACGACGAGCGGACTGGTATTATTATGCGGGAGTTGAGTCTAAACACCGGTCCCCTCGACGTGTTTACGATTTTATTTTATCGGCCGTATGTGTGTGCCCGCTATGTGTTTGTGTTCGTCTATGTGTATATGTCAAAAACTTTTAATCCTGACGACCTTCATGTGAAGTAAGCATCCTTTTACTCACCTGATGATGATCTATTTGCAGATCGAAACTAGTTGTGAACACAACAATTGGATTGCCAGAATCAGATGTTTAAACCATTATTTTAATACAGATTAGTTATAAGAGTTATTTATGGACAATGGGGGAAAATCCAATTATGCATACAAAGTGGCCTGCCTTTAGTGCTGGACTCACACTGGCAAAAAAAAGTGATTCTCTTCTTTTTGTTTCCAACCTAATATTGGTTGATTATCTTAACCAGGATCAAAGTATCCTACTGTCGGGGAAAGAAGTTTAGACACTCGAGTTTGGAGCTCTACAGAAAAGTAACCAAACTAACTTAGAAAAACAGAAAACACATAGTATATGTAAATTTTTGTTGCTTTATTCTACATATTCCTGTGAAAACAAAATTTTTTTAGCTCATTTAGAAAATTTTTTATTACAGCCGGAAGGTAAAAACTCCCTGTTTTTGAGTATCAAAAACCGTCTTATGACTTTGAAAATTCGCACAATCTAAACTAAAAGTCAGAACTTTATCAAACTTTAATACAATATAGAAACATATATAATGAATTAATTTGTGTAGTTTCAGAATTTTTACCCTACCCAAAAAGTTTTAGTTGTAATTTTTGTAAATTAACTTTTTCTCCTAAACGGCAAATGCTAGAAAAAAATTGAAAAGCTTGTTTTGAAGGTGATTGGTTTTGTATTTGAAACATTCATACTGCTCAACCAAATTGTTACGCATATTATTTATATAAATTATCAAAGAAATGGATGATCTCGTGCCTGCAAGGGGTGCAGACGCCATCGCCCGCTCACGAATCCAGTGCAGTGTTGCCACGATGGACCTTGGCCGAGCGTAAGGTGATTCACGCAGTGTGTGTCACTGGGGACTGACTCACAGGAAATATCACGTTTTGCATTCTTCCAAAGGGTCAAAAGTATTACCACCCCAAATATGTCATACTATATCAGTAATCCACCTCAGCCTGTCTTCTATTTTAGCTAGTGTCACATCGCTAAAAATGGGTGCTAAATCCAAATTGGCAGATTCGGAATATGCAATGATTATCAGTGCTAGATGTTTTTTTAGAAGTGAGGGAGTGCCGTTGGAGGTCCAAAGCCATCATTAGAAAAAGTAATGGGAAATAGTTAATAATTAATAATATCTGCTGTTCAGTTTTTGACTAAACAGTTCGCAGCCCATCGCTGCTCAGTGTCCAGGTGTTCAATTTGGCACTGTAGGGGGTAAGCGCCCAGTCAGAGCCGGCGGTGGTCTGGAAGTGCCGTATTCGGCCTCTGCACTATCCAAATTAAATGTTAACTTATATAAATAATATGCGTAATAATGTGGATGTGTATTCATCCATTTAATATTGTATTAAAGTTTGATAAAGTTCTGACTTTTAGTTTACATTGTGCGAATTTTCAGAGTAATAAGATGGTTTTTGATACTCTAAAAACAGCGAGTTTTTACCTTCCTACTGTCATAAAAAATTTTCTAAATGAGCTAAAAAAATTTTGTTTTCACAGGAATACGTAGAATAAAACAACAAAAATTTACATATACTATGTGAAGTTAGTTTGGTTACTTTTCTGTAGAGCTCCAAACTCGAGTGTCTAAACTTTTTTCCCCGACAGTAGGTGTTATTAGCTTTTTACTTTTTTATTACTTTATAGTGCATGCATGACTTGGAAGTAGCGGTTACCTGCAGGAAATGTGGCCTATTGAAGTCCATCGGGTTATGCCAATGATCAATTCACTGGTGGTTGCTGATTCAAAAGTAGTGTTGAATAACAGATTATCTTTGAGGTTGTTTTAAGTCATTTTAGGCTTTAAGCGTTGTCCAGAGTTTTCAATGATTCCATGGACCTGGAAAGTTTAGAAAGTTGGCTTGGTTTACAAATAGGCCAAAAGCCAGTAAAATTGTCCTAAAATTATAAAGAGCAAGGGAAATGAAAACAGAAACTTTTAACATTCACTTAGGCGTTTTAAAAATTATTTTTCTGTAAAAATTAGCCTTGTTGCTTTTAAATTTTTGAATATAAGCCATTCGTTATCATGTTCTTTGTTATTAGATAAGTAGAAAATAGGTGTAAGCCGACTATCAATGGTGGAGGCCGCATTATTAAATTCAATGTTGATAACTTTAATCCTAAATAAACACCGATGTTTTAAAATTTACATGGTGAACAGAACATCTTGATAAGAGGACTGTACTACAATAGGCCAGTTAGGGCCAGGAAAAGTCAGAGAAATCAAAAGAGAAATAATTGTGGAAACCTTGTTGTTGCAGATTTCAAGAGAAGAGGGTATCTCAAAGTGAGTGTGTGGAGCATCTAGTACGTCTGAGTCAGACCAGCGAGTCTGTCAGCAACAGCTTGTCTAGGTCTGAGTCCAAAACATCTACTGTCATTACAGACACACCTGTGGTCAACGTATCATTCCTCATCGGAGAAAAGCTGTCCAGCACCATGAAGCGCCGTTATGAGAGCCAAGTAATGTATTGCTTCACTATGGTTATAGTCTTTTATTTGTCAGAAGGTATTGTCCCCAGCTCATTCGTATAATACTAGAAAGAGAAATGAGGTTATCCTGCCACATAGATTAAAGTTTTTTGAAAAGAAACCAACCTACACAGGATATACTTTTCTTAAATATATTCCAGAAAACATAAGAAGAGAAAATAATTTAAATAAGTTCAGGAAATTGCTGAAAGAGTATTTAATACAACTGGCCCCTTACTCCATAGAAGAATTTTCCACCTCCCAGATATAACCTACTGTAGATATAAATATTTTTGTTATTACTTTTCATTTTTGCTTGGTTAACTGTAAATAGTAGATTTTAATTAGATTTAGTATTGTATTATACAGGGTGGGGCAGGGAAATATCCCTACTTTTAAGATGGCACTGTGAGTAGTGGGGGTGTGCTGGAGGAATGGGGTTAGGCTCAAATGAAGCTTTTATTTTGGGAATTTCTAAGAATATAACTTTCAGTAGTAGACATGGCTTGTTCGAGTGAGCAATGTGCTTTTGCACTCGAGATGTATTTTTCCAAGAATCAGTCTATTGTTGCTGTGCAGCTACCGTTGGCTGCGAACTTGTTATTGGGTGACCTGTCGCAAAGCTGTTACAAATTGGTGTGGGTGAATTACATTCGTGTGTGTGGTGGTGTATTGCGAAGGATATTTGGAGCTCAAAGAACCGCCCGGAGTCCTGAAAACATTGACCTTGTCAGATGATCGATTTTGCAGTCTCCTCAAAGTTCTGCTTGTAAGCATGCATCCGCGCTGGCGTTGTCTAATCGTACTGTTCCTTGTATTCTCCATGGGGACCTACACCTCCATCAATACAATAGGGTAGTTGCTCATGAACTCACACAACGGGACAGGCAACAACGAATGCAGGTATGTAAAATCTTAATTGCGGCACTGCCTCATGTTGCTCGGGTTTTGTTTAGTGACGAGGTACACTTCCATATTTCTGGAGCGGTAAATCAGCAGAATGTGCTCTATTGGAGTGATGCTAAGCCTAGGGTAGTTCAAGGGAAGACCCTAGATGCCTTGAAGGATGCAATTCACCTTGAATTTTGCCACATTCCACAACAAATGCTTCACAAAGTTATTATGAGCTCCAGAACCAGATTAGCTCCAGAACAGCAATGCATTTAAGATTAGGGACACCACTTGCAGGATATGCGGTTTAAAACCAAGTAAAGTTATATTAAAATAAACTCCCAGATGTAACCTTTTAATCTCAATAAAAAGTTTTGTTCTAACATTTTTGGTTGTCTTTTAATGTACCTTCAAAATTAGGGATACTTCCCTGCCCCACCCTGTATATGACGCTATTTACTGTACAAACTATGTACAAAAAATGAATAAAGAACTTTGACTATGACTATGACTATTGTGAGGGGTCACTTACTATTACAAATCAATATTATTCAAATGTATCTCTAAACGTGCAAAGAAAAAAGCTTTATTTTTAACAAAACTGTCAGAACATACGTAGTTGAAACACCAATGTACAATCCATTTAACACGAATAACGTACAAATGTAGGTTGGTTTGAATTTAAGAATAATTTCATCACTGTACACATTTTAAAATTTGAAATGTTCACTTACTGTATGTTCATTCATGTATTTTGACTTAGACCTACTGACGTAATAGATAAAAATTTTAATTTTTAACTACAGTACTGCAAATTGATTGTCACTGAATAATATAATCCTAAAAATTTCTCTTGCCATTGATCAGGGGTCTCATTGATGGGGGGTGTGGCACTCTACTCAAAAGAAGAATATGTTAAGTCAATTCAGCTAATCGACTAGGAAAATAAATAAATTCTAGGAATATACCAACCCCCAGGCGAGAATGTGAAACCGCTATAGACATCATATCAGATATTCTTGAGATCCATGAAGCCCGTAAAATAACAACCTTGATTGTAGGGGATATAAATATTGACAGATAAGAAAAAGTCATGAAAATGTACTCTTAGATGTTTAAAAACTGCTATTTACCAGCCACTCGAATAACACACAACACAGCCAACTTCATCGACTGTGTATGCTACACAGCACAATTTTGTAAATTAAATTAAATCCACCATGAAAACTCAAACCACTACAAAGAGAAAAATAAATAGCCAAAACCTACAAAACCTGAAACACTTCCTCTGAGAACAAATCTTGGATAGAGTACATGAAGCCTCTGACACCAATATTGCGTTTGATAGTTTTAATCACCTGCTCAATTTGGTCTTAGACACAACTTATCCACTGTTTGTCTGAAATTATTTTCAATTAAATCTATTTAAATAACATTAGGTTTAACGAGTACCTACCTAAGTTTGCTGCTACAAGGAAACTAATCAAGTGTGTTTTTTAGTAAAATATTATTAGCTTAGTATAAAATAGATAAATTTCCCAATTTTGATCAAAATGTATGCATAAACAAGCAAACTACAACATTTTACAATATGCTCCAAAAAATAACATGGTTACGGTATTTTAAATTTACAATTTTTTTATTTTCTCCATAACCAATTACTTTACAAAAACACTGTAATATACTAAATCATTTGTTTCTTTAAGCTCTTTAAAATGATCTATAGAAAAATTGGGAAATATTTGTGTTTTTAGAGTAAAAAATTAGAAAAACCCAGTTTTATCCCATAAACCCCCCCCCCCCCCTGTAAAACCACGTTCCCATAATCTGATCATGCTGGCTCGCGAACTCATTCAAGTTGATTGATTGATTGACTCATTCAAGTTTATCCCGCCTCACACTTTCAAACCAAATTTCATCAAAATCGGATAATAATTACTCAAGTCGCGTTCACGGACACATATACATTACATTTATAACTTTTTGAACGGAAAGTGTTTTTGGCCTCTGGGGACATCAAAATGAAAAAGTAAACCGGTCCCGGGCCTAGGTCTTACCATGACACCTACAGGAATAGCTACTTCCCTATAGGGAAATTCGCTAAATGAAAGTAAAAAGAAACAGATAACGTTTTACAATGAGGAATCCCGTACCCTGAGGAGAGTATACTAACGGCCCTCCTCAAGTTTGAGATGACTGGAAACATTAAAGATAAAATAGACATGGTGAACAAAAAAGAAGCTATGACTTACACTTAAGGAACCTTAGGCAGTTATCAACCCACAAATTCATTGAACAATCCGATATATTGAACAAATTGATAATAATGATAATGGAACAGTTTGTTTCTGCTATATTCTTAGACTATAGCAAGGCGTTTGACTGCCTCGGACATAAATTACTGTGTAACAAGCTCGTAGCCTAGGAATGACTGGCTTGACCAATAAATGGTTCAGAAGTTATCTTGAGGGCCGCTCACAAGTTGAGCTATTACACTCAGTAGAAAAACCAGGCATACACCTATCACTCAACCTCTAACAAGAGAAGTACCTCAGGTATCTGTCTTGCGCCCAATCTATAAGTATAAAAGAGGATGTTTGTATATATATTTGGCAGTGATAAACTCAGACACCGCTGAACCGATTGCCACGAAACTTGGTACATACGTGTAGAATTTCATGGAATAGGTTTATACACCATCAATTTCGTGATCCGTCCAATCGGCTCCGCCCCAGTGGCTCTGGAGTTTCCCATGTTAACCTTATGAGAAATGGAATTAATGAATCTTAACAGCTGTTTCAATTAACCCATTGGCGCCGACTTATGAGCGTTACTCGTACGGCTGCTGCAGGCCCGGCGGCTGACTTACGAGTGCCGCTCGTGTCACCGCTACGCAGCGCCACTAGTTATTTAATTAATATTATTTTCCTCCCTTTTTGTTTCTTCTTACTTTTATAATGTTTATAAATATCTTGCTTATTGATTTGCGTGTTTACTCATTTATTTTAGCGAATAACAAACAATTTTGTGTTACCATGGAAACCAGATATCACAAAAAATCGACTGTGGTAAGGTAAACAAACAATTTTTTTTCTACGTTATTACTTAAAAAAGTACACAACTTTTGATTTTTCTACGTAGGGAATCAATTGAACTTTATAATAGTAGTGTTATTTGGTGTCTGGATTCATCTTGGAATTTGTATATCAAGTTTACTTTAAAAAAATTGTTTTTAAAATTTTTATTTCTATAAACTTTATAATTTTAGTTTTTTTTTGTTTTACACTTTGACTATCCAATTACCACTTTTCTGTAGACAATTTTACTGTGAACAAAATGGTGAAAGAATTATTAATTTATTACCTAAGGTTTTCTTTCTATGGTAATTAAAATAAAAGTCTACAAATTCGCTAAAATTATTTGCCGACTGAGGGTGCTGCAGGCAGTGCATTAATTCCTTCCCCAATGGGTTAAACAAGTTGGTTCTGTTCTATGATGTTCAATAGCATTAAAGTTACAAGGATTACCAACAGTGTGCAGCACTATTATTTATTTTACATTTATGACAACAGCTAATTTGCAACAAAAAGGTGAGTGAGCATAGCGAACGAACTTCAACCCGGAGGCGAGTTAGCGTAGTGAACGAGCTAACCTGAAGGCAAGTGAGTGTAGCAAACGAGCTAACCTGAAGGCAAGTGAGCGCAGCGAACGAGCTCCAACTTAAAGGTGAGTGAGCTTAGCGAACGAGCTCCAACCTAAAGGTGAGTGAGCGGAGCGAACGAACTTCAATCAGGACGTGATTGAGCCATGCGAACAAGATCATCTTGAAAATTAAGAAGTTAAACGGGGCAAAGCCCGCGGGTTATAGCTAGTACTATTTATTTTACTAACAAATTATTTCCCAAATGAAATGCTGACCCAAAATAAAACCACAGTATGTATACGTTTGTAGAGTATGTAGACGACACTACCCTACTAATCAGTAACAGTACTGCAGTTGAACACTTGCTTTACATGAAAAGGCCACAAATATAGCAATAGAATATTTTGTAAATAATTAACAACCCAGATGCACTTCTTAACAAAGAAAGACATAATACAAAATGCAGCAGATCTAACAGAAGCAACTTTGCCAAAATTCCTCTGCATTATGTTAGACAGCAGGTTCACCTAGACCGAACATATCATAAAACTTTGCAAAAAAATCAGGACAAGTATTTATGTTGTATGAAGAGTTAAGTGGATTGCAGGACCAGCAGCAGCTAAAACCGCATATTTCTCACTAGTAGAATCCCACATCCGCTATGTTCTACTAGTGTCATGAGGAACACTATCAGAAAATTTGAACCGGATTCTCCTTCTGCACAAGAAAGCTGTCAGAATCCTGGCAAACCTTGAACCACGTCAAACCCACAGACATGCATTTCAGGACCTTGAAATTATGACAGTTGTATCTCTGTACATTCAAGAAAGTATTCTGCATGTGGACAAAATTTAACCAGCAAGAAACAGAGACTTCCGCTACAACACCCACTCACCGTACCACTCCTGCTGAGAAAAACCATCATACAACGGCTGCAAGCTACGAAACCACCTTCCTGCATCCATGAGAGACCTCACTGGGTACAACCTCAAGACCAAGTTGAAGATATGGCTGATGAAAAGACCTTTCTACACCCTAGACAAATTTCTTGAGAGGAGAGAAGATCTATCATAAACCAGAAATTATTTTTAAAGCCTTGACTTTAGACACTATTGTAATTCTTGATGAGTTGTATAATAAAGATATTTTTTACTTTGATCAGTTGTCTTAATTCGGAGAACTCTAATGGTTTACTAATTCACAGTGTAGAGGTGTTTTAGATTGATACTTGTTTACAGGTACTCAATTCTATCCTACAGACTTTGCAGCGACTGTCACCCAAGTTTCGCACTGAGGTGGTGGTGGTCAACATGGAGGCAGATGTGATCAAGATGTTGGCATCTCACATTGATCTCAGTCTAGAGGATCAAGATATGTCTTCTGTTGTCAAGAGGTAACTACAGTCTACAGTAACAGAAACAGTTTCAAAACTCCTTTTGTCAACTACAGTGTTAAACCCCCCTAAATTTAGTACAGGGTACACCAAAGTTAACTATCATTTATGCTGACAATCAGTTACATTTAAGCTTTCATTCACTAGCAATTTATTTTTACAATTTCACTGTCACAAGTCACTCCTTGGGGATATCCAGCTGATATGCTGGAAACGGGGTCCACTTGGATTTGGTATGGTTTTAGTTGAAGTGTATATACTTCTTTTTTTTAAATAGGTCAATATTTTCACCTTGCCAAGTCATGTGTTGGTATACTAGTTTGCAGTGCTCTATTTGGGGGGGGGGGGGGGAACGCGGCAGAACGGAGTTCCGGTACCTCTCTTTCAGAAAGATAAAAATATTGGGATAGGTTCTAATCACATTAAATAGGTTACAGTTCCTGCACCTCATTTTTATAAAAATCAAGCACTGCTTGTTTGTTAAGCTACATTTTATTGTTTTCCATCATTATTTACCTTTACAGTCCATAACTTGATGTAGGAATTCTATTTTCATTTACTGACTGACGACTCTGTTTACAGATTCCCTAAACATAAGAAGACTATTTATAAACTAATCGAGCAGTTGCAGGAGCTCAAGAATAACAACTCCAAAGTAACTATCATCTTATACAGCATCATGGACAATACCTTCAAAGTGCTCTTATAAGATAGGGCACACCTTATTGTAGTAATTACAGGGTGTCAATTGATCTTCAAAAAAACCTGTCACGTCAGCCTAGATTATAGATAACCCCACCTATAGTGTAGGAATAATACAAATATTTTTTAATAATGTTAAGGAATTGCTGCATTAACGGCATATTCAGTAAAATCTCTATTTCTATTAACCGTCACCTGTGGGTGCGGGACTACAGCGGTTAACTGAATAGACAGTTAACTAAAATGCTGGTTAGTAATTTTTTTATAAAATAGTTTTATACAAAAAAAAATAATAAAGGGTACTCAGTTTTCTTATATATTAAAACTTATTACATTATACTAAACACCATCAAAATCTGTGGTGCGTAAAAAAAACTAGAAAAAAAAGATAAATTTTATGATTACAGAGTGACGGTTAACACGTTGACTGCGCGCGCCGACTTTACAGGCGCTCCCCAGTGGTGGGCGAAGCCCCGGCGCGCAACCGAATCAGCGAACGCAATTGGCATTCAAATATTTCAGTCTGACGAATCACAAAAGAGCAGTGGTGACTGTGCTGCGTTATCCCGAGAGTGGATGTAGTTCACTGAAACACCCAAAGGTAGCAGCACTGCATGGATCCGTATCCAGTGTCTTTGTAATGTGGGTTGAAGAGAAAAAATCCCCGAAACCGGGACAAAAGCATTGCCAGACAGGATTTTACGGGAAATTTTAGTACCAACCTACACCAAAGTAAAGCTCGCATTCTAAGCTGGCAGGCTGGCAACGATTATAACGTCTCCGTCTGAGGCTAAGCTCACACTGACTCAATATATTTCTGTTGGTCTGGTGCCGACTTTAGTCGGCGCGCGCCACCTGGGAGCGCTGGCGACGCCGACTAAAGTCGGCACGCGCAGTCGACGTGTTAATCAAGGTTTTACTGTTGTGTAAGATGAATTAAGCAGATGGGTTAAGATGTTTGATGTGTTCTAACTGCTCAAAAGCTACTTAGCTAGTATTATTTTGTTGAATTCCTCATTGATCTTGATTAACTGTTGTACAACTAGGATAAAACTTATATTAATTTTGATTATGATTTTAGGAAAAGAATCTTTCCTTTTTTCTAGATGCAAAAAATTATTATTTGTCTATTTATTTATATTTAATATACTCAGAATGATCTGGTTGCTATCAGGTGATGTCAGGGAGTAGTTGCTGGATAGTCTGGGTAGTTGAGTAGTTATTGTGCTCACATTGAAGGTCACTGGTTTCATTCCATGCGTGATCGATTCTGAACCCATTTACAATTTGTTATCGGTTTATTAACTTTGGTGATACTTAGCAAAATGTCGACAGTAGATAGTAACAAGACCAGGGTTTACACGGGTCTCTTGCACAAAAACGTAAAATTGTAAGTGGCGTGGATAAATAAAATAAACGGTATCAGCAATCTGCCTATTACCTTGTTAACAACCTTTATCATGGGTAAGCAGTGGGAATAACTATGATATTTTTTGGGAAAATCACAAAAGTTTCCATAACTTTTGTACTGTACTTTTTACAGCAATGCGGGTTGTACCATTATGTTTACAGTTTACAATTATAAGAACCATAAAATATTAACTCGGGACCGATTTACTTTTTCATTTTGTTGTCCCCAGAGGCCAAAAACACCATTCGTTCAAATTTATATATATATATGTGTGTCCGTAAAAACGACAACTTGAGTAATTTTTGTCAGATTTTGATGAAATTTGGTTTTAAGGTGTAAGGAAAGGTAAACTTGAAATAGTTCACGAACCAGCGTGATCGGACCATGGGAACGGGGTTTTATGGGGTAAAAATTGGTTTTTCTAATTTTTGACCCTCAAAAAACATAAAATTTCCCAATTTCCCACAAACAAATAGTTTAGTTTATCGAAGTGTTTTTGTACGGTTATTGGTTTAAGAGGAAACTCAAAAAATTGAAAATATAAAATTCCCATGTTATTTTTAGGTGAATATTGTAAAATGCAGTAGTTTGCTTGTTTATGGATATCACACTTGGCAAATTTATTGATTTTATCTTATATACTAAAAAACTTTTGCAAAACTTATGATAGCTAGCCAGACCATACTACTGGACCGAATTACTCGCGGTTGGTACCAAATGAAAGATATTTTCCTGTAGATGTGCAGAATCCCTTTATAAATTAAAATAGGCTCAAAAATAAGCACAAAAAATTTATTTTAAATTTAAAAAAATTAACATGGGTCTTATGGGTTGCCATGCTGGTGACAAAATAGCAACAAAATATAAACAGAAAATAAAAACAAATGGAAGAAATTCCAATCACATGTTTTATTTACAGCGTGGGGTGAAAATAGAGAAGTTTTCACAATACATACTTTTGGTAGGGTTTTCGACCATGGGGTGAGCTCTCGTACTAAGCTATAATAATTTTACTAAAAAACAGACTTAAATTGAAAATCATTTCAGGCAATTGGAAATTTGCTTAGACAGCAGGTTTGCTGTGGCGGAGGTATTTTATGTTTTTTAATGGAAAAATCACATAAATTACAATAACTTTTGAACCATATTTTTTACAGCAATGGGGTTATACTATTTTGTTAAGAGTTAATAGGACTATAACATACTAAATCTATATATCTATGTCTATATCTATATAATTTCTAAAGTACTTTTTTTGTTGGTAGGCCATAACTTCCTTAATTCTTAAGCCATAACTACCAAATGCTGGTGGGATTATTTGCTTGTTGTTATACGCAAAATGGGAGACGGACAGCGTGCCAGATCCTTGTTTGCGGTAATCCCCAGATTTATGATCTAGGGCAGTGGTTGCTGGAGGAGGGGTGAGAAAGATCCCTTCATTCTTGGTTGGAGTTTTGGTGTCATACCACAACTAAAGTATGTCTAAAATAATTGTGCGGTTGGAATTCAACATATGATTTCCCTATCATGGTAAATCTCCCACTCATTTACCCTTTTCTACACTGAAATCCCCTGTAACAATCATCTGTTTTATATTGCAGACAGGTTTTTTAGGAAGCATTTGTTTATTATGATTGAACTACACACATAATAAAACAATAAGATTTATTTTAACAATAAATAATCTACGTATCAATTTTAATTTCACTAAAAGTTTTGTTATAATGTAATATACATAATCCTGGACTAACATTTTTGCTTTTGATGGATTGTTTTAAATACAATTTCAGTTCTGGTAATGTAACTATACATTATTAAAATTAGTTAATATCGTGGTAAACTGGTTTAAAAATTCTAAAAGTGATTCTTCCCTTCTTTATTTAGTTGTTATTTTAATACCGTCGGTAATAGGAACTTTGTCAATGTCTCTAGCGGAGCCCTAAGGTCAGATCAGGATGAAAACCATTGGGTTATCCTGTTTATGCCTGAGTAATCAGTGTACAACATTAAACTCACTAGGTAAATGACAAGTAAAAGCATTCAATTTTCTTTTACTGAGGATAAACTAACATAACAAATTGATCATACCATTTTGAATGAACGAGTTATGTTTGGAGATACTCAGAAATTAAACCATTTGTATGTAACAGCTATATTAAAGTGTTTGCATTTTTCATCGTTTACTAATTGTATAAATATTTCAAATCCTTATAATAAAAGGCCAATACGCCTTAGTACACACCAAATAGAAAACAAATCTCGTAAAAACATATAAATTTAATTTGATTTTTAAAACATATATTAAACCACAAAATGAACACAATGGTGTAAATTTAACAAATATTAGTTGTAATGTGGACGTTAAAAAGTACTGGAGACGGTCCATTACATAATTCACTCTCATAACTGGAAAGTAGATATTCACCATCATCTTCGCTTAAGCCATCAGAGTCAGTGTCATACTGCAGATTTATAATAAATGCTTTTTTAAATAATTGTACACTCTAAAAATTGTATTTTTAGTTTGAATAGTAATGTCTTGGCACCTTTTGGCCATTTCCAATTAAGACTAATCAATTAAACACAGACTGAATAATATTAAACTGCAAAAAAAAATACCATCAGAATAATCACAATGTTGTTTACTACTAAAATGTAAACAAAGTGACAACTGTTGTAAAATTATAAACAGTATGAATCAGCTGTAGGCTAATATGTTGTGGTGGCAGGGGCCAGGGAGAAAACAGGGGAAAACAAATTTGTCCTTCAACCGCACATTAAATTCAGACAGAGTATAAACTGTTCACATATGGGTCACTTGAATGGACTTCCGTATGACTAACAAATATTATATGCAGCAAAGGAAACATGTATTCATATATATTTTCTGTTTTCTCGCTAAACTATTTATAATAATTTGAATACTTGATGTGTCTTAAGCGTCCCGTTGCTACTGTACGAGAAAACTTCTTTTTCTAGTTTTTTCTTGTTCTTCTCATCTTGATCTTTTCATTATTAATTCATACAGGCCTCATATAAATACGGTTAGTTGGAAGTCTTAGATTTTCCTTATGACTTGTGGTATAAAGACAATTTAAATTACAAAAAATCTATCTATATATTAATTACGTAAGCCGAGATTCTTTGTGTAAAAATTGTGGGCGATTGGTAAGTCGTAGAATGACGGGAGAGGGCTCAAATTAAAGGTCTCGATCCCGTGATGGCGGGAAAAATAGTGAAATTCCCAAAATTGCTACACAAAATTCGATATAACGTAAAAAATGTTCTCCATAAGAATAGCATTAGAAGCCATTTACTGCTGATTTTTGTTTACTTCAATACAGCTGATCGTGATTTATCATTAAGCCAGTAAGCAATATTGGGTCTGACTTAGGGGAGGTACGAATGAGGCATTTAGTTCAAAATTCCTCCGTGAACAGCGCTGTAGTAGAGAGCACTTTGGCAATGAAGGTTTACTAATCGCAAAAATAGTTCTGTTCATAAAATAAAATTATAAATGTCTCAAATTCAATTTTATTATTTTTTATTTATAAAATTAAACTATCATAACCTAACCGAACTAACCAAACTTGCTGATAAAGAAATAATATAACAAAAGTTTAGAAATCGGAAAAATAATTCTGTTTATTAAATAAAACTAGAATTTGCTCAATTAAAATTTTATAATGACTTAATAATAAAATTAAACTGTAATAACCGAACCAAACCAACCAAACTTGCTGATAATAAAAAAATCTTGGACAAAAAGTTAATGCTACCAGCAGGATTCGAACCCGGGACCTACAGTATATCAGCCCAGCACGCTAACCATCAGACCACCGAGGCCGATAACTACCGATCGTTTTGTTACGGTAATGGCGTTCCCTAAGCTAATAAGAAGCCCACAGCTGTCATCGTAGCCTCTTCTATACCTCCCCTGAGTAAATACCAAGCAATATTACATTTGGATTACTCATTTGCCAGTCAATTCTGCAATGTACTATATAAAAAACCAGGACTTTCTAACGTTATCTATAATAATAAGACTTTTTAGTTACGTTATAGACTGTTGAAATAAATTATTTTTCTGTGAAACTGATCAAATGTGTGTAGTTTTAATGTTTAACATGAAACAACCAAATTGACTAAATAATTAACAATTCAAGATTAAATGGAAAACTTCTGCTTTGTTTTTATTTCAAAACGTGTTCAAGATTTATTCTACACTTTCTTTGTAGATTTACTAACATTTTTAGTTTAAGATTTGTTGTACAAAAGCGAACAAAGACAAACAACAAATTGTTTTACACCATATATTTGTTGTACTGGGATATCCTGACACTTTGATAATTTGATTCTGAGTTTGTTTAAATATTACAATAATTTGTTTTACATATTTGAGCTTTTTAGGGACTTATGTCCCTACAAGCCGCTAGTAACCATAATAATAACTTATCTCTCCCTCCCCCTCTGCCAACAATCACTCTCACTTTCTCACCTCTCCATGAGCCTACCTGGAACTGACAGGTCAACAGACCGTAATTAACAGGATTTCAGTCTGGAACGTGTTCCTTTACACCCATGCAAGATTGGACTCACAGTCCCAGCTTTTTTAAATGTGGCTTTAAATTCTTTGTAGCAATTTTATCTGTTACCATTTCTATGTTGTACAAGGAGTAATATTCTAATTATAATGGTGACTAAGTTAATTAAAAAGAGATGTGCCAGGCTTTAAATTAATGTTGCTTTGTAATTTCAATATTTTACTCAATTTTTGTCATTATATTTCATTTTACAAATTTCATATATGTAGATGTTTTTAAAACTGCAAGAAAACAAAAAAATATTTGTTTCTATATACTATTATACTATTATATGTATACTATTGGATCAATGTTTACTTTTTCTGTAAAATTAATATTTTTACTGTCTATGCTAGAAGTCTTCTTGTTAATACCAGTACTTAATTTATTTGTGGTGTGTAGTGTGTTTTTTATTAGTTGGTAGATAATTTATTTTGCATGTCTCCTTAAATAATTGAAATCAATAATTTAATATTTAATTACTTAATTAAATTAGTAAAATGCATTACATCATCGAGCAACTATTTCATCCACACTCGGTTTCACATGTACATTTCTTCAAAACAGCTTTCACCGGGACTAACACAACAGCTAACATAGAACAGTACCCTTATTCTGCCAAATCACTATACATGCTAATTTATTATTAACAAAAAATGCATTTACATGTTAAATTTACATTACTACACCATATCTCTAATATAAATAGTTTTATTTAAATAATAATAATAATAGCCAACTCCAACAAAAAAAGATACAGCCATTTTTAAGATTACTGCCAAGAGTCTAGAACACAACAATTTATAATACTTTGATGGTACATCAGTCTCGCTATTTGGGATTGTACCCTGTTTAGATTAGCCAGAAATGCATTCAAATTTCAACAAAAAACTAAAACTATTTATTATTATAACTCTAAATGGTCATATATCACTTTCACGATTACGGAGACATCGTGATCGTCTTCGGTTGTGTAAATATATTTATTGTCTTCGGTTGTTTATCTACTGTGATTGCGTTCTTCTAACTACACGATAACCTTAGTGGCAGAAAAAATGGTATGGAAAATTGGAAAGTAAATAAAAGAAACTTCTTATAACACTTAAAACATAGGCTTTATGCTTATACTGTTACTAACTAGACGGTAAATATACATAAAAGATGGTAAGGTGTGATCAATTTCAATTGGACACTCCAATCATCATCAGACACAATAGGGGAATGACAAAAATCTTGAATGGAGTCCCTACTTATATCCTATTGGCTACCGGAAGCACTGGCCAATACATTTTTATAAGTACAACTGGAGTCAAAATTTACTTGTTCATGAATCAGCTTATTTATATTTTTACATTTTTACTTATAAATATAAATTTTTTCCCAAGCATTCATTACATATCCTTTTTTACTATTCTTTAAAAAGCATAGACTATCCTCCATTTTTCCTATTGAGTGGCCATTTTGTAACTGGTGTTGTGTCACATTTGATCTTTCCGGTTTGTTGTTGAAAAAATTGTGACGTAGATGAATGGATACTCGGCCATAGTCTATTGGAAATTATTCCAAATTTCCCAACAACATACAAAATTCACAAATATGTTCAAGTCAGGGGTGCCCAGAGGGGGGGTACTGTGGCGCGTTTGCGCCACAGGAATTTTTGGGGGGGACTTTTTTGAGGGGATTTTGGGGGGGATGTTTTTTGCTAGCTGTCATAATGAATGAAAAATTTTGTATAAGCAGCCCGAAAAATTGTTTCTAAGTAGCTCACTATCAACACCAACAACATTTTGCCATTCGTAATTAAGATTTGCTTCTAAGAATGGTAAAAACGCACCTTGTCAGACAATCCTTAATATACCAGTGTCAGTGTCGAATTTTATTTGCTACATATGTTTTGGTGGTTCTTTACCTCCACCACACAAAACACGAATCGATTACAGATAGGCCTATCAATTCACGCGTATATATTGCCGTCGTCAGAACTGGAAGTAAACTGAATCAGGTTCAGGTTATGACAGACAGACGTGGTCTCTGGATTGTCGTCTGCATTGTCACCAGCTGATATAGGACTATTGTAGTGACTGAGAAGAGTGTTAAAAGTATAATGGGATTCATAATTAATTGAGTGTTTTCACTTTCACTCAAAACTTTTGCGCTGTCCCTAGTTTTATGTATTTATATATTTCAAACTCCTCAAAGTATTTAATAAATTTCCTTTAGTGCACTACTGTAGAATTTCGAGACCATAATTTATATCCAGCAGATAAATTGGTTATTATTTTCAATAATTTTAAATGGAAAACTCAATTATGAATCCCATTATATTTTCAACACTCTCCTCCGTCACTACAACTAGTCCAATATCAGCTTTTGATAACACAGACGACAATCCAGAGACCACGTCTTTCCGTCATAACCTGATTCAGTTTACTTCCAGTCCTGCCCGCGGCAATATACTCACGTGAATTGATAGGCCTATCTGTTATCGTTTCGTGTTTTGTGTATAAACAGATTGTCTGACAAGATGCGTTTCTACCATTATTAGTCATAAAAGGCAATCCTGGGGCTATCAAAATTAATTATAAGATTACTTCGTCACAAAAACCTTTTGTGGGTATTTTGCCTGGCGATTTTTGTAGAGTAAAATCGAGTTTTTGGAGTGTGTTGTTTGGAGTGGCGGTGTTTGTAGAGCCAGGGAGTGGCGAGCAACAAGTCTGTCTTATTTCGTGACTGCCTATAATTTTGAAAAAAAAAAAAACTTTGCCAAAGTATTATTAATGTATTTTTAAAGCGGTTTGATTTCTTAAAATTCTTCTCTGAGATTCTTTCTCTGTAAAATTTAATGCCACCTAATATATTGTACAGTTTATTTTATTTATTTTGAAAACTGAGTTTATTAATAAACTTTGCCTATTAGACACAGTAAAAAAAAACTTAAATTTACGATATAAATAACATGTAACATAGATTAATAACGTTGTCCATATAAATGATTTTGAATGATTTTACATGATTCTTTTAACACTTTTATGACTATTTCATTTTTTAATTTTGATGGAAGATTATATTTTTTTTTAAATTCGTCAAAAAATTTTGTAATAGTCCCTCTTGCACCAATCATTATGCCAATTACTGATATAGAATTTAGATTATATTTGTTTCTTAAATAAGTTTCACATTTACTATAAATTTTCCTCTTTTCTTCATCTACTTCTAGGGGTTGATTTGTTGATGTTTCGAACCTTATTGTTGGATCAATTACAATTCCACTTTTAGATTTTGTATCATAAATTAAAATGTCCAATCTTCTGTTCGATCCACCATCTTCAGTGCAATGTATTTCTTCTACTACTTGCCAGCCTTTTTTTCGTAGTTCTTCTGCGATCATTGCTCTTACAGCATGGTGTCTTGCATTACGCAGTAAGGCACCAAAGGGACAAGAGCCAAGGACATGCGGAAGGGTTTCAGGCTCCTTGCAATGTCTGCAAAGGGTTCCGTCCTGGCTTCGCCCTGGTGTTGGAGTAGAGTAATTCACCTAGTATATTGTTGTACGTTTTGAAGACGTTGTCTATTGCAATACTGAACACATGTTAGCTGACAATAGAGATTCTGAAATTGAAACACTTCTAATTCGTCCATTAGTTAGATATACCTAATTAAGTATTGTTAAATGTTGTTCGTTTCCTATTAAACATTTAAATTTTGTTATCAGCAAGTTTGTTTTTCTTTACCTCAAGTTTACTAAATACTAAATTGGAATGATCGTTTTATGAGGTAAAGGGAAAATTGTCAGATAAATTGGTGGGGGGAGGGTAGGTTTAAATAGACGGCAGCATAAATTGGGGGGGGGGGAGAACTACTCCTTTGGCTTGGGGGGGGGGGGGTTGCGCCTCTGGGTTTGGGGGGGATGGGCACCTCTGGTTCAAGTCATAAAAACTCAATTACAATTCCTGGTATTCTCGGTATCTAGTTCGGCTGGACACCTCTATAAAATTGCCTTTAGTAGAGATTCACCTAAAAACGGTTTTATTCATGACAAAGCACCAGTAGCCTAAACCCTGTAAACTTCAATAAATATCATCCATTCATTCACTGTTAGTACTGTATTGCAGAGTAACTTTTACTCCCCAACAAGATGTTTGTATTAAAGATTAGTCTTACTACATTGTGCATGTGAAACAGAGTCCTTCTCATGTGGATACAAAATCCACAGCATCCTCTGTAGGACATTCACACCTCTAAAGCTTTGTGAAAATGTTAATATTAGCCTATCGTAGTTGATTGAAATTAGAAACTACTTTATCCTAATCAATACGACTTTTTGTAAGTTAGAAATAAATTAATAGCCATGATTTGTCATATAATGCATGAACGTAGCGATAACAAATGTTTAAATGAACGCAAGAATGTAACGGAATATTAAAAATATTGTATGTAGAGAGTGCTCAAAGCTATTTTTATATTGACAATTTTAAAAAGGTTTCGTATACTTAAAATAGAAAACATGCATCTGTGATTTTGTTTATATTTTTACTTCAATGTTATTTATTATCAATAAAGTTTTATGTAAATAAATTGTTTTATTCATCACTTTAGTCTTGCATTTAAAAGATCAAATTGTTTGGTTTTGAGCTTAGATTTTTCCCCCTATATGAAAGAACCAATTTCTGTTTGTGCCATAGCAAGACCTAAACAAAGGATCAATTTACTTTTCCATTTGGATATACCCACAGGCCAAAAACACTATCCTCCAAGTTATTATACATGTATACTAATTATAATAGACCTGTTTACCAAGGATGTAAAGAATATTTTAATTTGATAAATATTAATGTTAATACTGATTAAATACACTACTATGTTTGAAGTTTTCTTGTCTGTAATAGAAGGCTTTTTTTAAATATGCTGTAGTGAACACATCAATTGCAAAGTGGTAATTCGACCTTACACATTTGCATCTTAAGTTTTGACTATAAAATGAAAGAAAATGAAATATTTTCATTTTAAGCTTACCAGCAAACAGGCCATGCTGCAGCACGGGCAGCGCAACACTACGTCACAGTGGTGAATAGTTGTACTTAAGTTGCCAGACGTAAACAGCCAGATTATTTACCAAAAACATATGGGATATGACAGTGAATCTATCCACGAGTACATTTATGATACATTCATACTAGTGGGCAGTACATTTATGATCAATCATCTACGTAAAATCCAACCCTGAAAAAGTAACTTTAAACAACAAAACACACTCTACAATACGGATATGAAATCCAGACTGATCAGCATCAATTGAATTTTTTTGAAAAGAAAACAACCTATAATAGATCAAAATTTTTGAAATACATACCAAGTTATATTAAAAATAACTAGAAAAAACTTTTTCTAGTGGGGCCTTGGTATAACTGTCAAAGTTTTTTATTCTTTAGTCAAATATTATTATAAAACATATTTTTTTACCAGATTGAGAGTTATTTATTTACAACATAGGCTATTGATTTACATTTATAAAAATAAACTTAACAGTAGGGTTCTTTTATTTGGGTCTGACTTAAGGGAGGTACGATTGAGGCATTCGTTCAAAATTCCTCCGTGAACAGCGCTGTAGTAGAGAGCATTTTGGCAATGAAGGTTTACTAATCGCAAAAATATTTCTGTTCATAAAATAAAATTATAAATGCCTCAAATTCAATGTTATAATTCTTTTATTATAAAATTACTATCATAACCTAACCGAACTAACCAAACTTGCTGATAATGAAATAATATAAAAAAGTTTATTAATAGAAAAAATAATTCTGTTCAATAAATAAAACTAGAAATTGCTCAATTAAAATTTTATAATGACTTAATAATAAAATTAAACTGTCATAACCGAACCAAACCAACCAAACGTGCTGATAATGAAAAAATCTTAGTCAAAAAGTTAGTGCCACCAGCGGGTTTCGAACCCGGGGCTCACAGCATATTAGCCCGGCACGCTATCCACTAGACCACCGAGGCCGATGGCTGAAGACCGTATTGTTACGGTAATGGTGTTCCCTCTGCTAATGAGAACCCACAGCTGTCATCGTAACCTCATCTATACCTCCCCTGAGTAAATACCCTTTTATTTTGTGTATAAAGGAATAATATGCAGTTTCAAAATTTTTGAAGTGTATGTTTAATATGTGTACATTGAAGTAAACAAATAACAAAACATGAGTTAAACAAATGAACCGTTTTGAATTATCAAACGAAGCTTTAGGCCTAATTAACAATACAACAACAGCTACAATCGCAAACTAAAATTAATTTTACATTGCTAGGACTGTACGCTTGCTTTTTACAATGTGGAATTAGATATTTTATGCCAGTTAATAGAAGATTTTTTGTTTTAGAGTATTTAAGTAGATATTTATCTACATTTATTAAAAAAAATATTTTTCTATCATGAACATCAAATAAAATTCCACGCTTGCAATGTCATTTAGGTCTATGTCTTCATGAATTCACTACTCATGTATTTTATAACTATTATCCAACTTATTTTGTTTTGTGTTTTCTTCTGTGTTCTGTAGTGAATGAAGTGGGATGTCTACATTTCTTAAGGTAAGCCTGCTTATCCTATCCTTTCTCACACCTATTCAACTGAAATGTTTATGACTTTTAGTTTAAATCCAGATTTATATCTGTTTTGTAACATTTGCAGATTATAAATATGTAAATTTCAATCTAAAAATGTAAGTAATTTAGTAGGAGAACACCGTTCGTCATACTCGCGTCGGTAAAGGAGATCTTTTGCATCATCAACAGTGGCGCTGCCTGATACACGCATCATGAACTAACACACGCGCAACGACTGCTGCCCGTCTGCTTTGTTTCCTTAGTCTATGATCACAGTTTGGTCATGATAACTTAAGGTTGCGTATTTTCTCGTCCACTCGTTGAAGGTCTAGTAGCCTCTCAGGAGTTTCCACATCAGCAGACACTTCATCAGTCCTGACAGAGGCCAAAGAGAACCATTGACTGTCTAAGGAGTTGCCAGAGAAGTACTTGTGCATGGCGTCTGACGCTGGGGTCGGCTGAGGCTGTTGCCAGCTGATCGCTTCTGCTTCTTTTATGGATGAAAAAGTGTCAGCAAGCTCACTCAAGCTGTCCAGAATTTCTATAAGGAGACAAGAGAATATTGTAAACACTTTAAAGGTTGGATAAGCAATAGTCCATATGATTGGTTACTGCACAAAGATACAGTTCATAAACATCAGCATTCAGCATACAAACCAACTGACCTAAAAGTGTCCAGGGTGTCCAGCCAACCTGACAATCGGGAATTATACCTACATAAATTTTGATGACTAAGAAAAAAATGTTAATAGTTCGTGAATTTATGTAAGTGGCCAGATAACTTTTTTAACAATTGCCAAAATCCACCCGAAATAATTTTTATTTTAATTAAATTTTAATGTCCAACAGTAGGCATACTTGTGCTCAATGGCTCATGACAAATAGTACTAATTTTTCTCAAAATGTGAAAAGTTGGCGATCTTTTGTTAAATGCAAGTTTTGATGTAAACTAACGACGATATTTTTATGATGTACCTGAGATATCCAATACTAGACTGGCAGGGTGGCCAACAGACCAGCTACATTGCGAGGCTGGACTCAGACTGTCCAACATCTGGTTCTGGACAACTCTGCGAGGTGTTCTCTGGTACAGAGTGGCATTCCTCTCTGTGGTTTTCTTCAAAAAAGGAGTCAACAAGTTCTCATCACTATCCACTGTATTTTTTGGTGTCTGAAAATTACTTATTTTAGCTTTGTGATCGGGGGTGATACAATTTTCAACTACGCTTCTCGCAGAAAATGCATCTTTTTCTTCTTTTAATTTTATGTTGTCTGATTTTACTCGTGTCTTCTCTTTCAGGTCATTGATTTTTCTCTGCAACCCTAAAGTGTAACAAAAAAATCCATTTATTGTATCAATAGTCAGTAAAAGTAATGTTGTCAGTTTTAACAGCATAATCTCATTAAATGGATAAACTTGATGCAGACAGCTCATTAAAATTCATCTATGATTAGGAAAAGTTTTTATTGGTATTATAATCGATATAAATACAATTAGTCAAGACTAATCAGAGAGCCAACACAAAGTGAAATTGCAAAAACCTCAAACCAGATTTTTGGATTGAGTATTGAATACTCGTTAAATTTCTGTAATAAGCAGACATCTTTTAAAGTTTTATAATTGTGTATAATTTTCTGAAAATGTATTTTTATTTTTGTTTTGCTATGAATATACCTAATTGGTAGTATCCCTCATCATGTAGGGAGTCTGTGTTATGTGCAGTGGTGTAGTGAGGCAGGAACAGCATTCCCACTATACTATGTTTTCTTTCCAAAGTACCAGTACCTATACATTGGTAAATGACAATTATTTTTACTTGACAATGGTGAGCGTTCCTGCACTAGAAGATTTTTACAACTACACCACTGGTGACGTGGTCCTGATATACACATTTTTGCATAAGTGTGAATCAGAAAACAAAAATGGTAAAAATATTTAATTATGTGCCATGCTATAGTATGCAGCAATCATGCAGAAAGTATCTTAACACTTATACCATAAAAAGAAATATTTACGTTTACATAATATTTTCGTAGAAATGTTAACATATAATGAGAATGTACTCACATGGTGGTCTGTAAGAAGCATGCTGAGATTTTGAAGTTGATAATGATATATCAAGAGGGAGATCTCTAATACTCCTGACCATTTGTGAAGGTTCTGAAATAATTGCATGGTATGAGATGTAAAGGAAATTGTTTTAATTGAGTATGTTTTTTTGGACGAAGCCCAAAAGTTCAAAAATTATATAATAATTGCAGCTTACCAAAATGTTTGTAGGCTATCTATAAGTATAAAAGAGGATGTTTGTATATATATATATATTTGGCAGTGATAAACTCAGACACCGCTGAACCGATTGCCACGAAACTTGGTACATACGTGTAGAATTTCATGGAATAGGTTTATACACCATCAATTTCGTGATCCGTCCAATCGGCTCCGCCCCAGTGGCTCTGGAGATTCCCATGTTAACCTTATGAGAAATGGAATTAATGAATCTTAACAGCTGTTTCAATTAAACAAGTTGGTTCTGTTCTATGATGTTCAATAGCATTAAAGTTACAAGGATTACCAACAGGGTGCAGCACTATTATTTCTTTTACATTTATGACAACAGCTAATTTGCAACCAAAAGGTGAGTGAGCATAGCGAACGAACTTCAACCTGGAGGCGAGTTAGCGTAGTGAACGAGCTAACCTGAAGGCAAGTGAGCGTAGCGAACGAGCTAACCTGAAGGCAAGTGAGCGCAGCGAACGAGCTCCAACCCAAAGGTGAGTGAGCGTAGCGAACGAGCTCCAACTTAAAGGTGAGTGAGCGTATCGAACGAACTTCAACCAGGACGTGATTGAGCCATGCGAACGAGATCATCTTGAAAATTAAGAAGTTAAACGGGGCAAAGCCCGCGGGTTACAGCTAGTAAGTTATAAAATTGCATGGAATATTGCAAGACGAGAGTGTGTAGACAGTATATTTTTTATTTGGATGGTATTTATTTGCTTGATAGTTATTTTAATTGGCATGAATATTACAGATAGGCCTAAATAAGTATAGTTTTTCACAAATGCTATTTTATTATTTTACTTTTTAATTTTGTATCTAGTCATTCATTATGTAATTGCTATTAGCAGATTCTAAACTAGGCTAGCTTATTTTACTTTTTAATTAAATTAGTGTTGATATTTTTTTCTTTGATATACGGTATTTAATTATATATCATATCACTACTTTTTTTATTGTTATTATGGTTGTAATATGTAACAATAATTATCAAAATGACAAACCCTATTTCATTGTAAAATGTTTATACATGTTTATGTGTTTACAATAAAGGTTATTATTTTTATTGCACTGTTATAATGCTAAGAGAATTTTGAGGTACAGTAGACCCCTCTTAATTGACCTCGCATTAACCGACAATCGGATTATCCGCCCTCGATCCTAAAATGTTACAGTTTGTTTTAACCGACCTTGCTTTGAGAGCAGCTCAGTTTAACCGCCGCTTTCCAGGAATTTCGGCATTTCCGCACCCATGCTCGGCTATGGGAACATTCGCTTATCTCCACAGGATGTAACTAACAATAAGTATTTTGTAGCTATCCCGAACAATATTGCATATTGCCAGTTTGTCATCATCGTTCGTCTTGCGAGCACATCTAATTTTTTCTCTGCGGAAAATATTATACAGTAATATTGTAAAGTGCGTGGAAGTGTGTGTCTAGCTGTTTAGTTTATTTAATAATAATCAGACCGTTTAATTACAATGTAAAAATAGTCGTTTTAAAATACAGTAAAGTGTTTTTATCAAATACAGTAAACTAGGATTTCCAAATAACAAAATGACATCGGCAAAACAAAAACGGAACGTTGTTACTGTGGAACAGAAACTAAGTGCATTGGACCGTCTTGACAAAGGTGCATCTGTGAAACAAATTAGTGACGAGCTGGGTGTTGGAACAACAACTGTCAAAGACTGGTGTCGTAACAGGAAATCTTTACAAGAGTTTTGTACTCAAATAGAATCTGGCACGGCGTTGGCGACTTGGCGTACATTAAAAAAACCAACAAATGATCTTGTAGATGACGCGTTGCGGTTGTGGTTCACACAAGAAAGGCGTAAAGGAACCCCATTAAGTGGCCCGATTTTAAAGGAAAAAGAAACCATGCTTCATTCTAAGATTGAAAACGGCGGCAGTTTCACTGCCATTAACGGCTGGTTCGACAGGTGGAAAAAAAGACATGGCGTCCACTTTTTATCTGTTTGCGGTAAAAAGTTGTCGGCGGATCCTACTAGAGCTAGTGAATTTTTTACACAATTCAAGGAGTATATTGAGGAGGAGGGTTTGCATCCAGAACAAAAATATAACCCGGATGAAACTGGATTAAATTTTGAACGTCTGCCAGATAAAACATTCGCCACCAGCAATGAAAAATCGGCTGCCGGTTTCAAAATGAACAAAGAGAGGGTAACAGTTGCCCTATTTTCTAATGAGGCTGGAACCCACAAACTACCTCCCCTTGTGATTGGCAAATATCAAAAGCCAAGAACATTCAAAAACATAAACGTAAATGCTCTTCCAGTTTGTTACAAAGCGCAGCGATCTGCTTGGATAGATGAGTAAATTTTTAAGGACTGGTTTATCAACGAATTTGTTCCCGGCGTGAAAAAACATTTGACTAGCCTGAAAATGCCAATAAAGGCAATTTTGCTAAGGACAATACTACCAGTCATGTAGAAGGCATTGAATGCGAGGAAGACAGTGGAATAAAATGCTATTTTCTTCCTCCGAACGTTACCAGCATTGTCCAACCTATGGACCAAGGTGTAATCGAGAGTTTCAAGAGACGATACAAGAAAAAGTTACTTTCTGAAATTTTGAACAGGATGGAATTTCACAGTAAAGGACTTGTTGATGTCTTAAAAACAATCAATATAAAGGACGTCATTTACATGGTGGCTAAGTCGTATGCAGAACTTCAAAGCACTACAATCGTAAAGTCATGGAGAAAACTGCGGCCTGAAGTAGAAGAAGCGGTATTAAACAACATGGATGATAATCCATCAGCAGAAGTTCGCCAACAAGAGATCGACCCAAGTGAACAATTATTATTGGAGGATCTTCAAACATTGACAGGTGGTGATTACGTCATAGAAGCAGAAGATGTTCAACAATGGATTGTTCACGCTAACGACGAGCTGGGGAACAATATGATGACAGACGAAGGAATCATTACCGCGGTCACACGTCAAGAGAACAACGAGGAAGAAGAAGATGAAGTCGAAGATTTAGATCAGGAATCAAAAATTAGTCATTCCGAGGCAAGAAAGGCATTTACTCTAGCTGCAAGTTATGTTGAACAACAAAAAGTATCAAGTGCTGCAGATGTAATGTTTATTAAAAAATTGCCAGAGTATGCCTTAAAGCAGACACTGGACAATGAAACACAGAAAAAAAATTTACTTTAAAAGTAACCTTTAAACTTTTTAAAGTAAGCTTAAGTGATTAAAACTGTTCTTTTTTATCATTGGTTTGATTGAAAATATTGTTTCATCTCTTAAGTTTGTGTGTTTTAATTCAATAATATGGAGAGTGTAATGTAAATGTATTACTATAGACAAAAAAAATCAAGTAAGCTTCAGTGAAAAAGAAATCACTAATTTTTATCAATGGTTTATTGTATTGCTGGTTTATTTTTTGTATTACTGTAAAGTAGTGTGTGTGTGTTTCAATTCAATACAGTAATAGTGTGTAAAAAATTGAAGGTGTTTTTTATTAAGTTTCCTGGTGGATCTTCTTCAGTGTGTCAAACCAAAGCAAATCAGCGAGATCGTCCGTACAAAGAAAAATTGGTATGTAAACAAAATATTTTGACTAGTTACTTAATGTGTCTGAAAACAGCTGCTATTTTTTGTAATATATTCCAAAATTATCTTATCGCGTGAGTAAAGAAACAACGCAACTTGTAGGGGCGGGAAAGGGAGAGGGTTAACGACTCCAAGGTCAAGATTGTTCTTGTGACTCAGCTTCCAGTGAGAGGCTATAAATAAACATTCTGTCTCGTAACAACATGTTGCTTGTATTTTTAATTTTGACAAAGAGCTCTGTACTGTATTACGATATACTGTACTGTATTTTGAAAGCATCAATTAACAGAACGTACTAAAGTTATTACAGTACAGCAAAATAACATTTTTTATTGATTCTTGTCTACAACTATTATTTGTCTTATACAACTATTTATTATCCCTACTGAAAGTATTTGACTTAACCGTGTTTTTTTGTTTATTAGTGTACGAAAAAAGGAGATAAGTGTAGTTTATTGTTTATTTTATAAATAATGCAACTATTACTTCAAAATAATGATTATACAATATTAAATGAATAGCACTTAATTTTCTTGTTTTTTTTAGGTATTACCCGTTTTAACCGACCTTTTGAGCTATCCGACCTAGGTCCCATTAGGGTCAGTTAAGTCTACTGTAGATAGAATGGACATTAGGCTTATCTTACTAGAAGAGTACCCATCATTAAAAATGATCATCAATTGAATAGCTCCGCCAAACAACATTGCAAGTGACAAAAACTAATATTTTCAGAAAACACAAAAACATTCTGACTGCACCGATGCCAACACAGGCAGTATGCCACACATTTAATCGCTTGTAACTGTAAGTGTTGCCAACCTTTGTAATTTTAAATATGTAATTCTTTTTATCTCAAGTCCACATTTTTTGCTTCTATGTGGTTATTGAAATAGCAAATCAACAAACACTTGCAAACAAGCACCGCACTTTGTGATAGTAACTGATTTGATAATTTTGTGCATATCATGTGAGAATTAGGCCAGGGACACACTTACCGGCGAAACCGCCGGACGCCGGATCCGGCGGCGTCGGAGCAAGGTGAGATACACAGGAAGGCATGGGGCAGGCCACACTTCTCTGGTTCGGCGAATCTGCCGATCCGGCGGGAAAATGCTCCGGCAAAACCGCCGGATATTCTCTGCCTCGCCGGACCGCCGGATCGGCAGTTTCGCCGGAGCAGTGGGTAGCGGGGCATTGTGCCTTATGGAGATGAACACACTTATCGGCGAAACAGCCGGACTGCCACTTCCCCCACTCCTCAGTCGTGGTTCAACCCTCGAGGGTGGTGATTGCTAATGATTTTAATGCATTGTCCAAGTAGTGTATTTAGTTTTGTTTTGCTATTTAGTTAGTTTAGTTTTTATTTTTATTCTGTTTAGTTTTCTATATCATCATGGTAGATGTTGATATGGATTTACTTATTAGTTTGGTTCATGAGAAACCAGAACTTTGTGATAGGTCTTTGGAAGTTTACATAGACAAAAACAAAACGAGGGACAGCAGCTGGCGACAAATTTGTGCCGCACTGAATCCAGCCTTTCCAGCGTCATGTATGTGTTTTGACCTTGTATTTGCACTGTAATCTTCGATAGTAGCTCGTCGAATGAGGGGACAGACATTCAAAAGTAATTAAAACACTTATTTTCTCCATTTTTCAACTGTAAAAATTGAGTGTAAAAAGCTCCAAGTAGCGGTCTGTTCTCCAGAATATGATGTACCCAAACAGTTCGGTGGGGTTTTCTCTTTCTTCTGTGGTGGATCAAACACAGGAAGGCCAACTTTTGAGGTCTTGACAGCACCATTTCTAAGACTAAATGTACTAGAACTGTACTAGTGTAAGACAAAACTCATTGCACTCTATTTATTGTCGCCGGCTCAAGTTTTTGCCGGAACAAGTGTGTTCTGACCCTCAACCTACGGCGGATCCGGCGCTCGGCGGTTTCGCCGGTAAGTGTGTCCCTGGCCTTAGCTATGCATCAATTCATTTTCGCATAATTCTGATGGTTCTGGCGTCTTTTAGTTTGGATAAGGTTTCCGTATGAGAGGAAGTCTACTGTAACCTTTTGACTTTTTAATAAATCTACAGCAGATCTCTATTCCAAGCTTCAACAAATTAATTTATTCGATTGCTAAGAACAGCACCTGGGTTAGTGTTCTCATCTAAAGGCTGCTGGTAACATGGTTGTGTGTTGTTCTGAGAGTCGGCTATCTTGTCTATAGCGGACAAGACCAGTCTCGCTCTCTTGACAACCGCAGCAAGTGAAACCTCACAGTTGACTGCAGCCTCAAACTCACTCACGCCTACAAAAGGAAACATACTAATTAAGTTAACTCGATACTCAACTTATACATTTTACCAAAAATAGTGTTGACATAAAATTTTTTAATTTTTTTTAATTTCTTTTCTTTATATCTTTTAGAGATCATCTCTTGTAGTTATCAGAATTCATATAGCTTAGTTAAATTATTTTAGCAAGCAAACCTACATTGCTTCAGCTGAGTTAAATCAAGTGACAATCCAGAACCAGAGAGATGCTTGTACAACAGCCAGCTCTGCTTGACTATTGCTCTGCCAACTTCCTCCTTAGTCTCTCCTCTGCACAGTTGTTGGCTAAGATCATTCACACTCTCTTGCACCACCTACAACACCAACAACAAACATATTGATTTGCCCATCCTACCAAATCTTAAGCTTTAGTTGGATGACAATTTTTACGATTCTGGCTAAAGAAGCAACTGATCTTCGTAAGTAACAATGCTCATTCATTCAATACTTATTGTTCACTTATCTTTGCATCAAAACTTGCACCCTGGTGTGTCTGCATTGTCACACATCTTTAATCTCTCTAACCTCCCATTTCATATCATTGAATAGTTCACTATTTAAAAATCCATGTCCTAAAGCAGGTATTGCACCTATTTAAGAGGCAGAAATTCGGAGAATCATGAAAAAAATGGAAACTAAATCATTATCATCAGCCAGATTTTATTGAATTGTTGAAAAAATAGATTTAGTGTACACTGAGAGGGGATAAAATGGATATAATATAGCTGGTTTTAAATAAAAGAAGACTTTGTATTGTGGGTCAACACTCTATTAGACAGACCACATACTAATCAGAGAATATTACCTTGAAGCAGGCATACATATCTTAGAAAAGTTAAAAGACATTAATTATTTTGATTTGTGAGGTCCCTCAACACAAAGTGTGCCTTAACAGGATTACAACAGACCAAGAGTCCAGCAGATAACGAGTCCAGAGGATATAGAGTCCAGCGGACCAAGTGAAACAAGAGTACAGAGGAACCAGTGTACAGCGGACCAGGAGTAGAGCGGAACCTATATAAGGAGGCGCAGAGGAGTCCACGAGTCAGTCGATCACGGGCATCTGAACGAGAAGGTCCTCGCTCCCACTCCCCGACGAATCGCCAACTCTACAAGGTCTGGTGAATATTAGCGAGGCCTATTCCTGCTAGAGAAATCCGAGCAGTACCCAGTCCCGCTAGAGAAATCCGAGCAGTACCCACTCCTGCTAGAGAAATCCGAGCAGTACCCACTCCTGCTAGAGAAATCCGAGCAGTACCTGCTCCCGCTAGAGAAATCCGAGCCCTACCTTTTCCTGCTAGAGAAATCCGAGCAGTACCCAGTCCTTCTAGAGAAAACCGAGCAGTACCTACTCCTGCTAGAGAAATCCGAGCAGTACCCGCTCCCGCTAGAGAAATCCGAGCCCTACCTTTTCCTGCTAGAGAAATCCGAGCAGTACCCAGTCCTTCTAGATAAATCCGAGCAGTACCCAGTCCTTCTAGAGAAATCCGAGCAGTACCCACTCCTGCTAGAGAAATCCGAGCAGTACCCTCTCCTGCTAGAGAAATCCGAGCAGTACCCACTCCTGCTAGAGAAATCCGAGCAGTACCCGCTCCCACTAGAGAAATCCGAGCCCTACCTTTTCCTGCTAGAGAAATCCGAGCAGTACCCAGTCCTGTGAGAGAAATATAAATCCGAGCAGTACCCCGTCCTGCTAGAGAAATCCGAGCAGTACCCAGTCCTGCTAGAGAAATCCGAGCAGTACCCAGTCATACTAGAGAAATCCGAGCAGTACCCAGTCATGCTAGAGAAATCCGAGCAGTACTCAGTCCCGCTAGAGATATCCGAGCAATCCCTAGATGGTGATGATGAACATATCATAAACTGGTTAATAGCTTATACCAGAACTGTACGTTCCCGTTGGGATAATCATATTGATCTGAGCTATCTATCCCTTTTTCTCAACTCTACGACCGACTTCAGACCCCTGGAAACATCCCAGCACCCTACTGAAGCTAACCGTATCACAGATTTACGTAATAACATTTTTTATTAAAAGGTTTGTTGTTTTCAAACATTATTCAGCCAAGCCTGCAGAGGAGTAAGATACAGAGGATAAATTCAATGGTACACTTACGTGGTGTCTAGCACAGTCGCTGGTGTCTAGAGCAAATTCTATTCATCGTCCCCTTCCACTCTCCTTTCCCCATTCGCCACCGTTTACTACACAGCACTCACGCTGAAGGAAGTGCCTGTCATCCGCTGTATCAAGCTACCCTGCTGTACTAAATTTCTGTGTGGCCATTGCTGTTTGGGCTCTTTCTTGCTCGGTACGAGTAAATTTCCACCCAACCTTACCAGAGCTAAAAGCCCACAATTGTCCCACAAGCTTGTTTCCTCTGTATCTTACTTCTCTGTCAGGGCCGGATTTCCCAATAGGCCCGGTAGGCCCGGGCCTATGGGCGCAAGGTCCCAGAGGGCGCACGGCCAAGAGGAATTTTTTTTATAGGCTATCTAAAAATAAAAATAAATAGTCATAGTTGATAAAAAAAACTTCCGAATTTCATAAGAAGAAATTATTGTTATGAAATTTAAAATATTTTTCAGAATTATGCATCAATTTCGTTACAAAATTGCTAACGAACATTGGTTATACGGGAGTAGGCTGTAGGGATGTTGATGTTGACGAGCGCCAAAGGGTTAACGCATCGTATTGCCACTGCACTGGGCCACTATGCTGGCTCGGCTTGCTCAGGCTCGGGCTCGGCACTACTGATCATAGTGATTAGGGGCGCAAGCGTGCTAGACATTGTTACCACCCTCACTTCACAAAACACAAGTTATTAACTAATCTTTTGATTAGTTTACAACAATCTGCAGGATCAAGTTAAAATATATAATACGTTGTGTTGAATATTAAAACGATTAATTTACGTTTAAATTTAACGAAAAAATATTATTAATCTCAGTTTGCATTAGATTTTAAAAACATTCAATACCCTCCAAATCACCATTAATGCTGTCATTTTCTCCTCAGACCTAAGGATCGGTATGGTTGGCAGGAGTATTGCTCTGTTTTGCTTTGGAAATATAACCTAGATACAGTACGACCATAGATTATATATAACTCAAGTCGACTTCTTATGACATTGTTAATTCAAAATTTGTTCAAGTTTAGTTCATGTTGGTGATACTGGGCGTTAGTTTTGACGTAAATTTTCTATTTTAATTTTCTTTCTATTTTTTAGGGTTAGTTCTATGATGTGTGTTTTAATTTCTTGTAATATAAACAGGAGACGATTGTTGATGATTAGATCGTTTTATTTTGGATAAACTAGGTTTAAACATAGGTAAAACATACTCCTTAAATAACAAGAATTGTTTTCAGCTAATCCAAAATTATGACAAATCTACTAAAGGAGTAGCCTATGTTTAATCTATGGTATCACATACTGTATGGAGTTCAGGTGTTTGGGCCTGGAATTGGAATCAATGGCCATGTTTTTTTTTTTTCAGGAATTCTCGGTGGTTTGTGTTGTTTTGTTTCAGTCCCACGGGCACGGCCACAAACGTGAGCATTTATTAAAAGCATAAAATTGCCAACAGTGTTTAAGACGGCATTTCGTTAAGGCTAAACAATCGATAAAAAAAACTTGCAATGATTCCGGCGAGGAGTGGTATTCAAGCAATTAACTTAGGCCTATGGGCGTGATATAGTTTTTAATAAAGGTTTGAAGGAAAGTAACTGTGACCAGACTAGGGGGTGGAAAATTATTTGGGCCTAGGGGCGCCAAAATGCTAAATCCGGCCCTGTTCTCTGTGCCAAACCTAAGATATTTTTATTCATTTTATTAAACACAACATCTGGGTCATAGTCGAACATGCTCCATTACAAAACAGTATTTGGGTTTACTTACCCTAATGAAGGCTGTGGAGTCGATTATATTGTCTAAATGAGACTGGAGATTTTTTGTTTCGTCTTGCCAGTGGTCACACAACAAATGAGCAAACCTACGTTTATCTTCACATCCAGCTGTCAGATACAATGCCTTTAATGCTGGGACTAAGTAGTTGTCTATAGATTCTACACTGGCCAGACAACACCTCATGCCCAAAACTCCTGCAACAGAAAGTAAAAATTATTGGCTCATGTATAATATTTTTTACCAAATTACTTTCAATGGTACGTCTTGTAAAAATGCTTCACTACCGGTATACTTTTTGCTTGTAGCCTATCAACAACAAATTGTCCAGCAATTAGTTTGAAATTTAAAAAATCTGTTAGTGTCTACTTCAATTCAGCATTTCTGTGTAAGATAGTTGTCCGCATATTGAGGTCTCCATCGTTCTCCTGTAGCAGCAGGGCTTGCTTGAATCTCGGTTCAAATCTGACACCTAAGGCCGTGTTCCTTACTTCATTCATCATTATTCTAGCAGACTCCCACCTCTATAAGAAAATTAGTCTCGTCATAGTATTCAAAAACATGGTGAAAGAAAATTGACACTCCTGCCAGATATGACTTGCATTCTGTGTTCTCGTCGTCAACCACTACTGAAGTCCATTAACAAATGATGGACGTGAATGGAGTAAAGTGCTGTTTGGACGTAGAAATGGAGTGAAATAGGAGGGAGCTCGAAAATGGTTTGGATAATTTGATTCTATTGTGTAAGCCGATTGATTTTATTCATTTGTCTTGTTTGAAGCAGTGGCCAAAGTTAGGGGTATTTCGAATTCGGAGACTAAACAAGAGTACCCCTCAGGGGTAGTTGTCTGTCAACTACACGTGAGGCCTCTTGTAGGCTGGCAACCCCGAGGTACCCTAGCCCTCCCCCAGATCTCTCCTCTTCTTCGTTCTGGGTTCTAAGGCCAGCAAATTTCCTCTTTTTGCAGGCCCTTCTTTCTTCTTTGTTTTCCTATTGAAGAAATCTTCTTCCCTTCTTCTTTTCCTTTCGCTTCTGTTTCAGTCGAACTTCAGGGGTGTTATGCGACCCGCGCCGAAGAGGTGAATGCCTCCTGGCTCCTCAGCGATGGTGCGTACGGAGCCTCCAGGACACCGGGCGACCTCCTGGAGAAATCAGCCTTACCCGGACATGCGGGGCTCTGTCTGGGCTTGACCTCCAATTCCCTTGCTACTCGTGGGAACACCATGGATTCAAACAAAATAAGCCAACCAAAACCAAACCTGAGAGCGACTCCAGAAGTTGCACCACCAAAACCTCAGGGTTTATCTCATTTAGAACAAGACCCTGCTCTCGAAACGAAGTGCACCAAGAGCACAAGAAGCTCTGATGCTCTAAAAACCAGAAACTTCTACTATGATGGAAGTTCAACTCCCTCGACTGGAAATAATGGAGGATAAATCCCTGCATACACCAGCTACACTGGATAGAGAAGGCGAGCTTTTTTAAGTTGTCCTAAAACACCAAAATCTACAGAGACACTCGATGACACCACTGAGCGACTTAGTCGTCTTAAGATGAAAAGACCGAATCTCACCACGGCACAAAGAAGGGAGGCCTTAAAGGCAAAACCTCTGGGAACAGGTGAAAAATTCTACCCAGACAAGTGGCGCAGGGAAAAAAAGAAAAAACCCAAAAGACCACAGGAGGTAAGAACACCGCGCCCAACTGCGGGACCAAATGTCGAGACGAAGGGGGCCAAGCGCGCCAGAGGTGCAACGGTCACTCCACCCTCAGCAGAAGGACCTGCAAAGAAGACCAGGGGTTCAACCCAAAGGTCTGAGCCGGTAAAAGACGTAGGTGAATCTGGTACGTCCATTGAAGTCACATACAGGGACATCACTGCTACCAAAATCGCCATTGTCCTTGAAAACTATCCTGAGGCTAGGCATACTGACAAACAAGGAGAAGCAATCAAGGAAGCAATCCTGGAAACGGAAAGACTACAGCCCTTAGAGGATAGTTCAAGTCCAGCGTTTGCAGGAATCTACATAGAAAAAGGTAACCTTATCATTGTCTGCCTCAGTGACGCAACCAAGCGATGTGGAGGGACTGATCCCAGCTCTCAAGCCATTAGAGGAGGACATCCTGAAATCCACGAGGGAATTCTTCAGAGCACATCCTAAGCTGTTGAAGAAAACTCCAGAAAAAGTCATTGAGATGTTCACGATGCAAAACCCCACTCTCAATGTCAAGGAGTGGAAGATACTGCCGGCCAAACCAGATCCGAAAGGGTACGGATTCGTCTGTTTCCTGGATGAGGTCTGTTTCCAGGCTGTGCAGTCCACCAACTTGAGAGCCAATCTAGGCTTCTGGCCGGTCTCATTTGTCACAACTCCGGTTAAGGACGATGCTCAGGGTCCTCCAGATCAACCTACAGCATAACAGGGCTGCCTCTGCCGGTTCTTCCTCAAAGAAGGGTTTGACCTGGCACTCATTCAAGAACTATGGCTGCACCAAGGAAGAGTTGCAGGTCTGGGAGAAACAAAGGGTGAGTTAGTTTACTGCACTTCTTTAAGTAATGTCAGAACATGCATTCTCGTGAGAAAAGGTTTGAACTTTCTAAACATAAACAAATTTTGCTCCAGAGATCTCACTGCGGTGTCAATAACCTGGAGAAATGGTGGCAGGGAATGGAGCACAATGGTAGGCTCAGTTTACCTGCCATACGACTCTAGGGAACTACCTACATCGAGAGAACTCGAGCTCTTGGTGGAAGCAACCAGCACTGGTGATCAACAACCACTCCTAGGTTGTGACGTCAACACACTCCACGCCAACAGAGAAAACACAGTACCAGCACTAGATGGTGGACTGCGGATTTGAGTCGCATGAGGGCAGGAGTCAGGAAACTATTCAACCAATGCAAACGGAGCCGTATGTGGAAGCCATATAAAAGGGCACACACAGAATACAGCCTTGCAATGGAAAAAGTCAAAAACAGAAAAAGCCAAACAAAATTCATGGATACAGTTTACACAGGAGGTGAACAGTCTCAGTGCTGCGGCCCGCCTCCAGCAGGTTCTAGCGTCCAAACCTATTGTACTCTTGGGATTTCTTAAGGTACCAGGAGGGCAATACACAACCGGGGTTGGTGGAAGTCTTAAACTTCTCCTTGAAACTCACTTCCCTGGCTGCATTTTTGAGAGTGACAACACAAGTTTAGTTATCAGTTTTGATTGTAAGGGTATTCATCACGATCTAGAACCTAATCAAAATGGTTATTTCTATAAGTTTAAAAAGGCCGATTTTTTAAGTTTGTACAATGAAATAAAAAAAATAAACTGGACTGAAATTAGAATTATTGAGGATGTTAATTTATCTGTTGATTTTTTTTATACTAAATTATATAATGTATTTGATAAGTTTGTTCCAAAAGCTAAAAAATCAATTTCAAAGTATCCTGTTTGGTTTAATCACAACATAATATCCTTGATCAAAATAAAAGACATGCTAAGGAGAAAGCTAAATAAGTATAACATGATTGAAACATTAAATGAATACAAACTGGTGAGAAGTACTATTAAAGTAAATATTAAATCGGCCTATAAAGAATATATTTCAAATTTAGAAAACAATGTGTTGAGCAATCCTCAGACATTTTGGAGTGTGGTAAAACGTCTTAGAGTTAATGATAACAGTCCAACTGTTATGAAATTGGACGATAGAGTTGTGGAGGGTGGGAGGGCCATAGCGGACGAGTTTGCTACTTACTTTAAGTCTGTGTACGAGCCTTGTCAGCAGGGCAGCGACGACCTGTGTCGGCGTGCGCTCCGCTCACCGACCCTGCCTGGCGTCCCGTGCCTCAATGTCTCCTGTGTCTCGTATCATGATGTCCTCTCTGCACTCAAAAACCTCAAACCTAAAAGATCTCTTGGTCCAGATGGAATACCGCCATATATTCTTAAAGCCTGTGCAGATTTGTTTGTTGAACCGCTTCTAGCTATTTTTAATCTCGCGATCACCAGCAATGTTTTCCCAACGAAATGGAAGCAAGCTAAAATAATTCCCATTTTCAAAAAGGGCCGAAGAGACATCATAAAGAATTATCGTCCAATATCAATTTTGCCTGCTCCTGTTAAAGTATTTGAATCAATTCTTCATCATAAAAAGATCAGCCATGTCAGTAAATTTCTATCTTCAAAACAGCATGGATTTTTCCCAGCAGATCCATTAATTCAAATCTGTTAAATTTTTCTGAGTTTTGTATTCCTGTTATTGATAGTGGTAATCAAGTTGATGTTATCTACACCGACTTCGAGAAGGCCTTCGACAAAGTTGATCATCTGGCTTTGCTTTCGAGATTGAACTATTTTGGTTTTTCTGAAGGAATCTTAAAATTCTTCTGTTCATATCTCAGGGGTCGAAAACAATTTGTATCTTTTGAGGGACACCTATCAGAACAATTTGATGTAGACTCAGGTGTGCCCCAGGGCTCAAATTTGGGACCTTTGCTATTTATTTTGTACATTGATAGCTTAAAAGATTTGATAATAAACTGCGAGTTTCTTCTATATGCTGACGATCTCAAAATATTTACTATTGTCAACAACCAACAAGATTGTGTTATGCTACAAGATGATATCGATCGATTGTTTCTTTGGAGTCGTGACAATCTAAAATTTCATGTGGATAAATGTTCTGTTGTAACATATTCAAAGAAAACCCCTAGTAACCTCATCATGCATAATTATAATATTGGTGGTAGTCTTCTTTCGAGGAAAACTTCAATTAAAGACTTGGGTGTGACATTTGATTCCAGATTTACATATAATGATCATGTGATTTCCATTTGTAAGACTGCCTTCTCAATTGTTGGTCTTATCCGCAGGTTGGACAACATTTTTACTAATCAGAGAAGTATTAAACTGTTATATTGTTCAGTGGTCAGGTCAAGATTAGAATATGCTTCTGTGGTATGGTATCCTAGTGTGAACTATTTATCCGATCTCATAGAGGATGTCCAAAGAAGGTTCTTGAGATTTCTTTATTACAAAACATTTGGTTACTATACGATGCTGGTCCCATACTCAGAACTTCTCACACTGTTTGAAATCGATCAGTTGAGTACTAGGCGTAAAGTGTCAATGATGTTGTATCTGAGGCGGTTGGTGTGTGGTGAGCTCGACGACGCAGCGCTGCTGTCCCGTGTGCGGTTCACGTTGCCCAGACACAATTCACGTTCGCGTTTGCTCTTCTCCCCCCACTTCTCTAGAACGAACCTTGGAATGTGTTCGCCGCTCAACTCAATGGTTAGGCTGTTCAACACAATTAATAACGACCAAATAGACATATTTTTTAACTGTCACAGTACGTTCAGGAAATACGTTTTTAGATATTTAATTACTACCAAATAATTATTGTTATTAAATTAATTACTCTGTTCAGACTTTGTTGTTGTATTTTATTTATTTAATTTGTTATTGTTGTTATTGATATTTAAATAATTGCCAATGTTATTTTTTAAGATATTTATTTGTACGTTATTTATTGATATTAGTTCGTTTTTGTCATATATTGTATTGTTGTGAGTGATTACACTAAAAATTATAATTTATTCAGCAAGATGAACTTTTACCATATTTATTATTTATAATGCATGTCAAGATTTTGTTGTTAGATATTAATGCTACAATGTAACTGGTTTATCCTGTTTTGCAGCATTGTAATAAAAGAAATAAATAAATAAATAAAGTTCTTGACCGAGAACTGATCGTGAAAGCTGGAATATAGCCAGAAGGGTTGTCACTCTCTCTAAAGTTAAATGGGCAATAAATAAGTTTGGTCCATTTAAGTCTCCTGGTGAAGACGGCATCCATCCAGCCATGCTTTGGCAAGGACCGGATGCCCTCAAGCTCCTCCTATGTGAACTCTTCCGAGCAAGCTTGGCCTACGGGTACATCCCTCAGGCCAGGCGTCTCAGCAGGGTGGTCTTCATTCCCAAAAGAAGAAAAGCAGACTACTCTGATGCCAAATCATTCCGCCCCATCAGTCTTTCCTTATTTCTCCTCAAGACCTTAAAGAGTGGTGGAGAGGCACATAAGAAAGGGTGTTACTTCTCAACACACCCCTTCATCACAACCAACACACCTACCAGCCAGGCAAGTCCAGTGAAACCGCTCTGTACGAGTTGGTCAGCAGAATTGAGGACAGCCTGGCTGCTAAGGAAATAGCCCTATGCACCTTCATGGGCATAGAAGGAGCCGTCGACAATGTAACATATGGAACTTTGGTGCGGGGAGTTTGTGAGCGTGGACTCGAGCAATCTTTAGGCAGATGGAGCAGGGAGTTATACTTATACTTTCACCCTTACTGTGGAACCTTGAGGTGGACGGTCTTTTATGTGAACTCACCAGCAAGGGCATCTTTGTCCAGGGCTACGCAGATGACGTAGTCCTCATGGTACGAGGAAAATTTACAAACATTGTAACTGACGTCATGAATGTCAACCTGCAATATGTTAAAGCATGGTGTCTCAGAGAGGGACTCAAAATTTATCCCTCTATGACAGTCGTAGTTCCTTTCACCAGGAAAAAGAACTTGGATTCTCTTTCCAGGTTGAAAATTGGCACTACTCAAGTATTTAGGACTGACACTTGACTCCAAGCTGACGTGGAACAACCACTTGAACATTGCACTGCAAAAGGCCAAATGGGCGCTCATGACGTCCAGGAGATTTGCAGGAACTAACTGGGGAATTAAACCCCACATAGCACTCTGGCTATATGAGGCTGTGGTCAGGCCTCAAATTACCTATGGTTCGCTAGTCTGGTAGACAAAGGTGAATCAGGTAACTGTCATAGCCAAACTAGAAAGCCTGCAAAGGCTTGGCACGCAACAAGCCACTGGAGCCTTCAGGAGCAGTCCATTAGCTAGTCTAGAAGTCGCTCTTATGCTGCTATCTCTGGACATCTTTATCAAATCTGAAGCCCTCAAGGCAGTTTGCAAATCTGTGGAGGGACTGCCTGTCAGGGGCAGGTCACTGCATCATTGCCAAGACTTTGTCTGCGTGTCCTGTGCTTGACATGACCTCGTAATTCCTAAGCGCAGAAGCAGTTTTCACCAAACCCTTCAATGTTGAATTCCGTTCCAGGGATGAGTGGAAACATCAGGAAGGGCATCTCCAAGATACGGAGAGCTTCGTCTGGTACACAGACGGCTCGCTAATCAATAGAAAATCTGGCTTTGGAGTATACAGTCGATCGCCCAGAACAGAACTTTCAGCAAGTCTGGGATGATACTATACCAGCTGTATAGCTGTTACCAGGCATAAATCTATGGTATCTTGGATTGTGCCAACCTATGACTAGCCAGATGCTACCAAGACAAGAGGATAGCGATTTTGTCTGATTGTCAGGCTGCTAACATTGGGCAAAAGCTCCTGCACCTAGTCAAGGATACAGGCATAGGCTTACCCAGTTAGTGGCAGGTGGGATGCGCGATAAGCTTCGGTTGACGTGCTTGGACCACGAGTCCACCCCTATCACAATACAATACAAACGAGAGTATTTTCTAACTAATAGAGACTGTAGACTGTCTCTATAATACTGCGGTCTACGGTCAACCTTGGAAATCTGAAAGACAATGAATCTGCTGCTGGCCTTGTTGTAGAATTGTGTACAGCGTTCACTCAACTCCCTTAGCCACTTATGCAAATTTAAAAATTGTTCTACTTTAACTTATTTCTGCATGCACATCTGTAAACTGGTAACAGTAATCAACAAGGATTGACCCTCTTCCTACAGAAACATTATGACAGAGTGTGGTTCATATTTGGTAAGAGCGTAGCTTTTTTCACATTATTTTTAAATACTATGACAAGACTAATTATTCCATAGTGGTGGGAACCAGTTAGAATAATAGTGAATAAAATAGGGAACACGACATGGGTCTCAAGAGTTGAACCAGCCCGCTCGGCTGTGCTTGGTGCGGTCTTTTACGCACAACCTTCATAAAATTCCTGTCACCTCAGCTTGATGGTTACCCAGTTTAAATATTGAGCTGTGCAGTTTCAAACTTACTGGTAGCATTTTCACAGCATGAGACAGCAAACTGTACAATGAGCATCACTCGTTCTATGTGAGTGTCAAGCTCAGCTACTTGAGGGTCCAGATCACCAAGAGAGCGGTCGGGCGGCGCTTGTCTACACTGGCGCACCAACTGCTTCACTGGTCTGCATGGCTCTGAGAATACCTACAACAAATCCTACCTAATAATAAATAATTTTATAATTTGTTACCATCCATCTATCTATATATACCTGATACTACAATGGTTTTCTCTATGACGTCTCTTTTTTTTTGCAAGTCCTACTTAAACAGTTTTTACAATTGAAGGTTAATTTGAAAGCTTTATGATCTAACCGAGCGGAATGATAATTAAGACAATAACTTTCTTCAGACTGTGCCCAACAAGCCTTTGATTCCTTTCTAGAGGGTGCTTTCAAGGGTCCAGTGCCGCTGGCTAATACTGCATATACTGGTTTTAAATGTGAATTGTAATTCATCGGCTGAATACCTCCAGTGTTTAATTACTGACCACAGTCAGATCGTAAGCAAGAAAATGAGTTTTAAATAGGCTGATTTAATTGATAATAGATTTAATTTCAGCCTGATTGTAGTACGTAGTCGAAATCCCTTTTAAATTTACCCCGTTACTTTTTCATATTTTATTAATTGTTAAAATCTGACGACCTACTTTATTCTCTACTAGCTGTGTGCCCGTTCTACGCACGGGGATCTTATAGTAGTCAGTTGAAACCTTATTATATAAAGAACAGCAGTTGGTTTGCATATTTTCAGATGTGCTGGCAAAACTATTATATATTATATAAACCTAATATAATGACATATCAAGAAAATGCAAAACTTATACAGTAAGACATCAGTTAAATTGAATACTAGGCCTACTGTAATAAATAAGGTGCAACACTAACAATAACTAATTTGTAAATAGTGATGTGTTGGTACCTACGTAAAAATTATTCTTGTTGATACCACCGGTTCTAAGGAAAAAACCAGTACCAAAAACCAACGTTTACAGTTAAGAACTATAGTATATCCGACCAATTAAATGAGTTAATCCAAAAATTTACTTAAAGTTCCGAGGCTATTAATTGATCTCTCTTGGTTTTGGATTTTCTGACAAAAAGTTATGACAACCTATTCGACGACGATCCATGATACCGGTACTTTTCCCTACAATACATGGCCTACCTACTTAGGAAATCAAATAAAAATGTAAAAAATCACACAATGTTGTGGTTTTTTAACTTATTTAATTTGATTTCCTAAGTAGGTAGGCCATGTATTGTAGGGAAAAGTACCGGTATCAAAGATCGTCGTCGAATAGGTTGTCATGAATAATTGGGTAGGCCTACGTACCCAAGATACAGTCAATGGGCTTATTGGCTGTATGGTCCAGCGATTGCAGCACATAGCGGTGAGTAGAAACCGAAAGTGACACATTGGAAAAGCGAGTTTAGCATCATCCGTAAACCGGCAAACCTCTGTTATAATAACCCACTGCAGTTATGATTTTTCACTTTACACTTCACATATTTCACCATTGAATGCCATCAATGAGTGAAAACCTTGTTAGTAAGCTATTGGCGACGATGATTTTATAAATGTAAGTTCCCAGCCCTATACAACACTGATTCAAGGTCTTTTTCCCGGTTATCAAATCTTCAGAACAATTTTATACACAAAAAATCTCCAATTTCATTTACGGTTACAATACACATTATTGAACTTTCGATTAATTAAATCCTTTATGCAAGGAACATCGTTTTTAATCTCACTTGGTTTGGATTTTGCTTTCAACACGTTATTGGAAATGTTTGCGGTATTTTGTAAACAACATTAAATGTAAACATATCAGTGACAGCTAGAAAAAATAATCTTGATCCGAACAGCTGTTCGTTATTTCATAGATGATTATGTGATGGACATTGGGAGAAAACTTGACAAAAATCGCAAGAAATCGGGGTTTTAAACATCCGTCATTTTATTTTAAAAATAGTGAGGCCATATTTTAATGGCTAAAGACAATCTTGCCAATCCAGTGAATACATTAAAATGATTTGGATCTTGATAGGTACTCTCGTTTTTCAGGAGAAGGCCGCGTAAAATGCCTCTTGGGCCGTAACAGACAGACCGACAGACAGAAATAGAGATGAGACTTGTTTCGGCTTCTTTAATGTACAAAACGGAAAAATAATTTAAAAATTTATAATTTTGAGCAATGTACAGACAAAACTCTAATTTTATTTATAAAGATTATTGCTTTGTTATTTGTTATTGAATATTATTTATTGTATTCTGTATACATTTCATTTAACAGTTTTCCGTCTTACTGCAACAAAAACAGCCATTTTTTAATGCATGCGTTGAGGTTCTAAAGTAGTATTTGTACTCTCTAGAGAGTAAAAATAATTTTTAGCCCCTTTATAAATATAATTTTAGGGATTAAAAATTAGCTGTTGTCAAATCAGTTGTAAATTTCGATTGTAAACAATCAAATGTATAGAAAGAATCAATCTCTTATATTAATACGTGAGGGCTGTTTTAGCGAATTTCCCTATAGGGAAGTAGCTATTACCGTAGGTCTCATGGTAAGACTTAGGCCCGGGACCGATTTACTTTTTCATTTTAATGTCCCCAGAGGCCAAAAACACCATTCGTTCAAATTTTTATATATGTATATATATATATATATAGGTATATATACTTTTGTGCCCACCCGGTTTGGCAGTCAGTGCGCTGGTAATTTACACGGTGTGGCAGTCACCCGCCCGAAAGCCAGTCAGCTCTCCCATAAGCCAGTCAGGTATGGCTTCCCGTGCACTTTATACGTATGAAAACAGCAAACCGGTGCTGCTGCCTGTGTCGATAAGCGTAACTGCAATACCAATGCGGAGACTGTCTCATCGTGTGTTCTATCGTTGAGTAGTGTAGCCAGTACGGCACCCTATCCTACTTTGTAGCGGTAAAACCCAGCGGTCTGTAACCTTCGTTTACTCCTTGTTACTATTTGTGTTGGGATCGTGATTAACTACGTGTTAATGTTTAAACATGTTCATACTCCAAATAAATATGATGCACCTATAATAAGGATCGTCGAATATTAATTAATTATAATTGGTTGAATCTTGATCCTACCCGTTCATCATCTCATATTTTAAGTTATTTTGATTTTTTTTACCTTCAGTTGAAATTTTAGTCAACTTCTCCTTTATACAATATTTTTTATCCTAGTATTTACAGTGTTTCCACGGACCGGGAACTATACGGATTTTCTTTATCTCGAGAAATATACGTGAATCTTGTCCACTGGAACTGTTTTTTACGCAATTGCGTAACGCGAAGGAGTAACTATTACATATGACAACGATATTATTCTATCTGATAAGAATAACTATGAAACTACACTCGAAAGATAAAATATTTTTATAATAATTTCAATTTTACAAACAAACTATTACAGGAATTATATTTTGGGACGGATGAATGATAAGGAAGCAACAAAAAGTGGTCACGAGTGCAAATACGGGGGGGGGGGGAGGGGGGTACAATTTAACGAACGCTAGAAACGATTATTTGTTTACTTTTCAGATTCCTTATCAAATCTCTCTCTCTCTCTCTCTCTCTCTCTCTCTCTCTCTCTCTCGCTCTCTAACAATGTACAGATTGTGGACTTTACGATTTAAGTTTTCCTGCAATTATTTCAGTTCAATCCCATACCTATCCTTATGGTTTCCTATCTATTATTTTTCAAAATAAATAGTAAAGCAGGTTAAACTATTTTTTATTTTATTTTCTTGAAACCAAACACTCTTTACCATCCGGTATTCTGCAGAGTCAAATGTTTAACACTGTGTTTATAAAAATTGAATGGCCACACAATTTTGTGTTTTATTTTTTTTTTTACTAATAGTAACTGGGATATTTATATATACCAATAAGTGCTGCAAGCTGTAATAAATGCTGCTGATTAATATCAAAATAAGTTATAATTTATTTTGTATAATACATCGGTCATTGAATACAAACCATAATGGGTTTTCTATTTGTAACTTTAACTTGCAAATACAGTAGAACCTCGCTTAACTGGAGTCGCATCATCATGATGCCTATATATTATATAACCTCACAAATCCCAAGAAAATGTTTTATTAACTGTGTTTTTCAGTCTAATATTTCGATATGAACGATATATTTAACTATTTACGGTAATTTTTATGTGCAGTAGGTTCCCAATTATTGAAATATTACAGTTCATTTAACAAAAATAAGATGGAAGCAAAACGGAGAAATATCGATCAGTATCGTCAAGGTCAACCTATACGCTCGCACCTACAGACTGACAATCTTGCACTGACACTGACATACTGACAATCGTCTGCTTCTGTCTGCTGTCACAACACTACAATATTTTGTGGTTGGGTCGTTGGGTGATTAGTAACCATGACAACTTGTGGATGTAGAGAAACCAAAGAAAGAATAGAACAAAGAGAAATAATAAGAGGTGTTTTACATCATTTTTATCTTTATCTTATTTTTATCATTGTTATTATTACCAGAAAGACTTAAGTACAGTACTATGATTTTATGGTGTTTTATGAGTTATTTAATATTTTTATCCCCATACTTCTGTTCTGAAACATCATGTAGTAGTAGCCTAGGATGACTACGGTATCAGTAGTCTTCTAGTCTACATTTTCATTTTGTTTTGTTCTTTACGTGATTTATTGCTGTACAGTAAGCAAGTTTTGTTTTGTTTGAGTAAGCATACGGTGTAGTTTTTATTAGTAAACCATGGTTAATGACTTAACATATCACGGTTGCGCAATACCTATTGTATTTTGACTATGTAAAATGCAAATTTATAATCACGTTAACGTCCATTTATATAGTGTACCGGAACGGCATTGTTCCTGAGTAAGAAACATATAAATATCATATTTAAATTATCCAGAAGTCCTTAGTTACTCACACGGGGAAAAAAGTTTTAGGCCTAAATCATTTGAAACCTGTACATTACATATTTTTGGTCGAGTTTTCGACCACTAGTTAAAGTTAATTGTATTACAACAATCTTTATAGTAAGCAATATAAGCTTGAATCGGACTTATCTGCCTTCAGCTAATCCATCATATGATAGTACGTTAGAGAGTATGCCCATGCTGAAGT